TGAATTGGAGGGGGCGCATTTACCTTGAAGACGGAGGATCCCTGGACCCTTCACAACGAAAGATTGAGACTGACGTCCTGCATTTGGTTTCACCTTATTCCCGTGTTCCACAAACAAGCTATTAACAACTGAAGCGACATCGCCGTGAAATATCTGAAAAGTTTCGTGTGGGAATTTTCCATATAGAACCCGTGTTTAGGTGTCGGAAATGACATAACGGATCTCCTCGCATACGGGACAGTGGCCCGTCCCCTTATCCCTGTAACATATCTGTTGTGGACCAGAGTTCCACCATGTATTCCTGGAAGCAATTGATGGTCGAGAATGCAGACCAAACGAAAACTCCAGACCCAGTTGAAGCTGCGGAGACGATCAGGTACGGTTCCTCGCTCTCGTGTTGTCTGTCACTGGCGCGGTTGGCTCGTGGATGCTTTCTTGTGGTACAGAATATGTTGTGAAGCTGGAGCAGGAGGTGTACCAAAGGGGAGCGCCGAGGACGTCGCTCAAAAGAAGAGGGGGGCAGTGTAATGCTTTGTTTATGCGACTATCTGACGTTTGGCGAGCACTTTAGGACTTGTCTGGGCCCTGTACACGTGAGCTGGCCTTCGGGCCACGCTCAGGCCCCATTTCTCCTATTGCTTTCGAAATACATGTATTCAACCTCACTTATGCCTTCTACTACCCCATTGGAAGCCTCGGGATGCTACATGCGCCTCCTTCGAATCACGTTCCCTTTCCGTCTGTATCTTCATTTATTGCACTTCGATAGTCATACTTCCTTCAACGCATGTATAGCTCATGATTGTCGGTGCACAACGCCAAAATGTGCTTATTATTCTTGGATTTCTCCACCAAATAGTAGAAGTCCTTTGCAGTTTCATCCGCTGGTTGGATTATGAAATTCTTTTCGCAAAGAGAGAGGTTTCAATTTCCTGACCCAGGAACCCCGATTTTGGGGTCCAACAGATTATCAGTCTCATAGATACTCAAATCCAGAGCATCAGCACCAAGAACAAGCGACATACATGTCCAGACCCTGCGTTACTTGTGGGTACTGAGGCATTGCATCATCCGCCCGAACCATTGCTCGTCGGCTTGTTTGTACTGTTCTTTACCGAAAATCAGTTGATTAATTGGCAAAGTTTAGCAACACAAACGCAGGTTACCATTAAGACAGCGGTGTCTGTTAGGCATTAGATTTCCCCGAACACTATGTCGAATTTAACAAACGACCAACGAGGAACAAGCCGCAGAGAGACCCCATATCGGCTAAAAGTTGTTAAAAATGTCGGGTTCGCTTTCTGCTGCTATTAAAGTAGCGTTCCGAGACTTCATAGACGGTATAAGTCGTCAGTACATGCAACTGGTTGTTGCATAAACAAAACAATACAAACACGACCAGCTAGAAATCGTATAGATTTGAGCGGCAGGGAAACTGGAGTCGGATGATTGAGAGGAGTATATTTAATTGTTATGTACGTAGAATGAACAAGCCAGGTGCAAGTTTGAGGAATATGATAATTATAGAAAATCACAAATTACACCACAGATTTAAACAAATTGTAGTTACCGATAGAGAAAATGTCCACTTAACTTCTGCCTTGCCTTCCCTAGCTTCAGTCGACTCAGAGAATCTTAGTCAGTAATTCCGAATGCTTAGAGAGGGTTCACGACTTATTTGCGACTAAAATACTAACGGTGAAATCAAATACAAGAGTGGATATGTAGCCTTCCTAGGCTTCGCACAAGCCGATGAAGGCAGTAAGAGGAACTGACTACATTTATTCCAGGGAGAAAAAAGGTTTAGACTTAACGCATGAGTAAGGGAACCAGGCTAGTACTAAAGTAGCCGCCAGACATGAGGTGGACGAATAAACTGCGCATTACGGTATACGAGTCAAATTAAAGCTACAAGTATTATATTACAAACGTTTATTCGACGAAGCATAGAGTGGAGTCGTTGGGTAATTGTGACATGTAGGTAGTCCTTGATTTCGGTGTTTGGGACTAAAAGAATTTAGGCGCTGTTTATGGATCTTTATTCTATCATACTAGAAAGTATAAGAATGTAGGACTTTTTCGTCAAACGAAGGCCTCCGATTTTAAACTGAAGTCAATTTTTAACAATTCATGCAAACAATGGAGTTTCAGTGTTTGTCATATATTTTTGTAACCTAAACATTGAAAATCATTCTTTATTCATAGGTTAAGCTAACTTCTGTTTTGTTTGCGAAACAGTTTGATTAGTTTGAATTTAACTCCTATAGTTTTTTAAAGTCGATTTGTTGTTAAAATGAGCCACAGGTCTGTCGTCCAGTCACTACAGATTTGATTTTCATGATGCTGGCGGTGGTTGGTTTGCTCTTCTACAGGCTTCTCTGTCTTTTGGGTTACGGTTATGTTGCCTACTGGACTTTTGAAAATCATCCTGTAAAATCCTCGTTGAAGAACAACGTCATTTTTCACACACGGTTTCTTACCACTGACACATTGGTACAATTTATTGTCTTGATCGCCTTGTAGCTTTTACACGTCCTTTACTATGCCTTGGCGGTCCTTCTTATTCCGACCAGATACAATAAGCTGAAGAGTATTCTCTCTTGCGTGGCTCTTACAACTTCCACAGTATGTTGTAATTGGCGTTTCGTTGGTTCTTAGGTAGTGTCGGTTCTCTTCTGGGGCATCGATTACTTCGACAGGTCGCTCCTGATTGAATCGAAAGAGTTGGAGAACTTACCATCTTGGTATTTGCACGTCACGGTAAATGGTTGATGTTTTTGACAGTTTGAATTACTAGCACACAGTTATCAGCCTCACTGCAATGCTTGACGTTCTCTTTTCGCGTCCTCAGCCAGTGCCTTTATGGAAGGCCTTTACCATGATCCTAACCTACTACTTGGGTTATGTTTCCTAGTGAGTATAGTGTTGTCATTTTACTCATCATATTTTCATAGTGTCGAATACTTGATATACGGACACAGGATTTATCCTTATCCTCTGCTGAGGCAGTTCACGTTTACTGGTCGTTATCAGTTCTATGGGGTCGTTATCTGTGTCATCATCCTGGTCTTCGTCGTCTCTTGCTTGTTCATAAGAGCCGTTTCCTGCTACCGGCATAGCAAACCGAGGAGGGACAAATCAAAAAATAAAAAATCGCAACATCAGCAACAGCATCAGCAGCACCAACATCCACAGAAATTGTCTCAGACGTCCCCTACAAATGGTATTCTTGTTGCTTCGAATTAGCTACGCTTACTGATAGAGTTCCATTATTTTATATCCCATCGCTATTAGTAGATTCGACGTTAATTGCTCACGTGGTTTGGCTTCCTAGAAATGTATCTTTTTTGACCTTTTCAAAGGCGATTTAAAGCATTTTGATTTGCTTTTGTAGCTAAAAAGAAGAAACAGGCCAAGCAGGATTAAGGTTTCGCCGTTCGAAGCTGTCGGCGTCAGTGTTTGTGTTCCTATCCTCTGCTGCTGGATATTTGTCATTCGCGCCTCCCGTTTTAGCATATTTGTGTGTATCCTTATCTCATTCGCTTCCCTTCTGCACGCATTGAGAGTGATCGTATCAATGTAAAAATGAATTGAAAATCTAACTCAGTTTGATAAAATACATGTGTGAATAAACATTATTAAGGTGGAGGCTTCCTTCATTTTAACGTTTAACCTCTTTATCGGCGCACTCCCAAACTTTTTAATGGTGAATTTCCAGCTCATCGTTGGCGTCGTTACAGGCATTCTAGACCGTTGAGGTGTTCTGCTATTCAGTGAAATGTAGGTGGGGTGACGCGTTTGACAGGCGCGTGCGGTTAATCATGTTTCGGAAGTCAATGTGTGCGGACCTTGCGTCGTAGCCTTGGCGCGGTTTGCGTGTGCCTGTCTTGATGAGTGTGCGTGGCTTCGTGTCCTGCGCTCCTTTGTGTCGCCAATCAGCATCTACATCCGGTTGTCGTTCGTCAAGTGGTCTTTGTCGGATGCGAGCCAGCACTACATTGCCTCGTTCCTTAGAATTTCGTTATGCACGTATCATTAGTTCTCATTCTCTCGATTAGTATCCGCTTCAATTGTTTGGGTACCTCGGGGCGATTATTGGAAAGCGTTAGAAGTATAGCTGGTAAGAAATGCTGGGTTTCTGGTGAGAGTGCTATGGGCAGGGATGTCAATAAGGGAAAGGAAGTTCTCAAAATACCGTAGACTTTGCGACAGCTGTCTGTACACGGCATCATTTTGGTACTACAGAACATAAATTTGAAATGAGTGCAATCACTAATTCACTCGCGTGCCTGGTTCTCTCTGGGTGTTGAATCGGTGGAAGCTTTTTTAACGTATGCCTCTGCATGGTTATCGTGGGCGTGTCCAATTTCCTCTACCACATCCATCGTTTAGCAATTAGTAACCCCTAAAAATTGCGGTGTTTGCACAACCTTGAAGTCATAGAATACAGAAGCGCTCTCTTCAATGAAATTGCAAACTTCAAAAACTCCGCTGAAGAATAAAGAAGGAAGTGGTGATTTGCAGATGGAACTGAAGCTACCGACAAGGTCATGAGGTCGGGCTACCTGGTAGGGCCACAATGGTAGTGTTTCCAGCTTATTTGCTAGCAAAGCTGGGCACCAGCTTCTTGCTGCATCCTTCAGTGTTTTAAGTTAAACGGCTTTAGCCATAGCAAACAGCCCTAGTTTAGTCGATTCCTTTTCAACTTCCGCAGCATTCTGCTTCCACGTACACACTCCACGCCTTAACTGCTTATATTTTCGAGGGCAAATCAGTGACAGGACCTGTCACCTAAATTTTGCCTCTGGTTTTCAAAGCTATGCCTATTTAGATCACCCTTGTAGAGTTATTTAAGTGTCCTGAAAGTTCAACTGTCGAATGTGTGTGTTGGAATTGCCAAAAGCCCATCTGCTGCCTTCACAAACATAACGATTAAAATCCTAGCCTTCCCATCAGCAGGCACAGAGGTGTCTATTCAAGTAAATGGCTTGCCAATCCGAAGATCACGGGTTTGTTGTTTTTTCGTTTGGCGTGAAAGTTCCTATTTATGTGGCAAGTGGCGCTAGAACTTACTGGCAGAGGTGCATTGAAGTCGAGGAATGCACAACCATTGAGCTCAGTAGGACATGCAACTACCAGCCTGAGTTCGCAAAGGTTCAGAGACGAAATCCTTCACCGAAACCGAGAGTCAAATAATTAAGCTGACCCATGACGTCCTTTTGAACCTTTCAACCCTCATTTCAAAGTTCACATTATATTCGTCGACCTTCATGGTGGAACGGAAGCACCCAAGACGGAATGATAAAAATGAGAATAATCCAATACACCTACAACCTCGTCAAGAGACATTTGCTCCTCTTAAGCGAATGCCTCAGTTTGATACTTATACAGTACAAAGGCAACCTCATTTTGTAACTTCTCGCCACCAATTCACCTTCACATGCAAAACAAATCAAGTCCCACGAATTTGTGCTTATGTATTTTTCAGGTTTAATGATCTTCTATGCTTCTTTACGTGTGAAAATAAGGCGAGCTCAATTTTTGATGCATTTTGCCTTGAGGTCCTTAAGGTGGTCCGCCTAAACCACCTTGGTGCTTAAGTGTGCACTAGTTGCGTGTCCTCCAGGCAAAGGAAGAGGTCTTCCGGCCACGCTGCACTTTATAAACATTACAACAGAGCCTCAGGACAACGATTCAGGCGAACCACATCATTTGGAGCAAGCAGTTATTGTGGTAATTTAATGATGTTAAGCGCTGTGTCATACTGCTTGTTAGGTCAATGCGGTCTCTCAGGTGACGACTTAGGTCAGTTTGATTGCGTATGACCTCCATGGTGCACTCATGCCGACACTGCAGAGCCCCGTCAGCAAAGAGGAATTCTGTCGCCATTATAAGTTCTACTTTCCGAACTTTTTGCGGCACAGTAGCCAAGGCCTTTTTCTGAGATCATTAGGGCGTGTTTCCAGATCACTCATAAAGTAAAACAACCGTTTCTTTAGCTTGCTTGATCACATCTCTAAGATACAGCTTACCAACTACGCTTACAACATACCATTTCAGAACGGTATGGCACCTCGCCACGTTGCACTGTGGCACAGGAGAGAACTGCAAGTTTTTGTACTAATGAAAATAATTAAGTAGACCATATACTCACTCTAATGTGGAAAACAAGAACACACGTAAAACTAAATCAGACGTGGCGAAGGCAGCTCAGATGTTGTCGTGTTTTGGAGTGCAAGCATATTAGTGACCAATTAACCCTGACATTTATATGTCTGATCAGTCAAACGCACTTTAATTCCCTTTATTTTGAAAAATTTTCCTTAAGATCGTGCCCTACTCAAACTCCTTTTGTAAGATCCCTGTAAAAATTTAATTGTGATTTCTGAAAAGCAATTTTAATAACAGAATCCACACAGGCACCCTTCTGTCAAAACGGTGCACTACTTAACAGACAACTTTGCTTAATCAAAGAAACCCTCAGCTCACAGTCCACCACCTCTACTTAATCCTCCCGCCAGACCCAGTAAACGTAAAGGCAAATTTAAACAGATTTAAGATTCCATTCTAAGATTTACTATGCAAAAAACTAAATCGAATTACTATCTGCCTTAAATATTAGATTTACTATGTATGAATATGGCAATTAAAGTGTTAATGTGTTGTAATTAATTAGCCTTTTATAAACCCTGCAAATTTCCCTTAAATCGAACTACTCCGTACGTGTCTACAAAATTCACACTCAATAGGTGGCAAAATTTTCCACTGTTTTTTATTAATTAGGTTATTCTTCGGATTGTGTGCTTTCCTCCCGACATTACAACACTATAATTTAATAAGTGTGGCACCATCGTGCCTACACCCACAATTAAAGCTCGATTTAATTAGAATTTAACGTGTAGCGTAAGGACAGACCACCTAATCAGTAATTTGGACCTCTACGCCAAATCACACTTCGCAAAGGCTCCCTCGAATCCGGTCAATAAAATTAGTTTCGCCATTTGCTTTGAATTCCCTTTAAATAGGCAATTGATGCTTCCAATTTTACGTGTTCTACCGTTGTTGGAGGAGTAGACTGCTTACTCCACTTCATAACGTTTACTAATGTGAGTCACTTTACATTAGTCTAGACTCAATTAAAATATGAGAGCAATTCGACATGTGCTTGTATGACTGTCGCTTAAGACAGGCAGTTCTTTGGCGATAGCTGAGAGCGACATGTCAAATACTATAAGTAGCAGTTGGTGTTTTTATTAATTAGGTACGAGACCGCCTTCCAAATGCCTAGTCTCATTGTAACTTAAACTTCGTCTGGAAGCGAATGCGTTTTTGCAGAGATCTGTTCCACATCCTGTACTCAAGGAATAATTCTACTATCAAGTTTGCATGCGAATTCAAAGGCGGTGTTTTGGGTAGTGACTCTATCGAACAAATAGATGGAGCAAAATTCTAAATTGAGTTTTTTTGTCTTCTGGGTAATCAGTCGGCTTTTATAGGAAGTAAATGTTGTATTTGGGAGATGTAACTTGAGCTACTTGCAAAACTGGGTGCCAGCTGGTATCGGATACGCGCCACCTTTACTTTCGCAATTCTCAATTCTTCGTAATGTAATGCATTTAAACTCCCTAGTTGTGGTCATCGGTTTGAAAAGACACTAGCGCATTAGTTTACACCATCAGTCACTCAGACGACTTGTCACTTAAATAAAATTCTGTCACAATGACCCACAACATCCATTTACCTCATTCCCATTGGATAGACTAAGTGAGAAGGAGGGGGGACTGAAGAGCCTCTAACTGCAATAGTCCCTTAAGAGGAGCCATGTAATCACTTGTTTGAATGATGTTAGAATGCCTTCACTACCAATCAACCAACAAACTAACCTATTTAATTAGCGCTTAATCAGATTGTCCCAGTTTGACACACGCACAATCTAAAGCACACACATTCTCTGCTTCTACAAGGCACACCTTCATTGGCTACTCACCATACCAATCGCTCCAGAAGCGTCATCACGAAAAGAAGAAGCCCTGCTGTAGCTTCATAATCATCCAGAAATGACTTCCACCTTTGTAGCAGCATCAAGCCCCAACGTACGGGTCAGCTACAGTCGACTGTACCAATTGCCCGAAAGAGATCAATTTGAGACAAATCCTACGCTGGATGACGAGGCTCAGCCCATAGGATGGGATCGTCGATACGGCATGTTATTTTTTTCAGAAAGGGCTCTCCTCTATGGTCCCTACTCAGTTGCTACAGCAGAAGAAAAGTTCATCCTCTCTCAGTTTCCCAACTTTATGCGTGATCGAGGAAAGAAATGCCTTTATCGCATCTTTGAAGCCTACACTGCGATCAAATTGGGACGAAGTGGTCTTCGAGCTCGTCCCCGGGATCCAGCTACAGACAGGGTTTACTATTTTCCTTCACATTATCCAAGCTGTATTGCTCTTTCCGTGCTGCATTACGACGGTGACAGTTGCAGAACTTGTGCAGCTTTAATATACAAGTTCAGAACCCCAGAAGTAGCTGCTCTGGCTTTCAAGATGCTCACAGACACAAACAGTGTTCCGCGGGGTCGAAGAACCTCCTTATCACCTGCTACATTTCCAGTAGCTCAATTCCTCACCAAGAGCTCTCCTACTCGTGCACCGTCGCGTCGAAATGGATCTACCCGTCGTGTTCAAGAACGCGAAGTAAAGATAGCCGCACCACGTTGTTCTGTTCGGCAATCAAGATCACGTCAAATTGATATACAATCGTCACCTCATTGGGGCGCGTCTTATATCGATTTCGAGGGTTCGAAAAGAAAGTTGGAAAGTCCAGAAAAAATATTCCGGGGCCGCTCTCACCATCGAAGCAAGAGTAGATCCAAGGGTCAGAAGGGGTTGGTGCACTTGCAGCACCAAAACTGTTGTTGTTGTAATCACCAGTGTATACATTGTGGCGGTGTAAAAAATTGTCACAGCGCTGCCAAAGGCCTTAAAGGCAACATTCCCAAGATAGAGGATGGGTCACTGTTGATAATCAATGGAAAGAAGTACCCTCTGAGCCTTCTCCACGAACTAGTGGATCAATTCGACGAAACAGCACCAGCATTTCGCCTTAGCGAATCGAAATCCACAACCAGCAGTGATAGTAGCAGCAGCAATAACATCAACGGAGTTGGGGTTGATAACGATAGCGCAGACTCAGGCTCAGGTTCTGGCGAACCTGTGGTTGAATTAGTCTTTGACAAGCTTAAAAACACTTCGAAGCTGAATGGAACGGAAATGACATTCTGTAACCGGGTGTCAAGTCGAAATGGGATGCGTGGGGATGGCGGGACCCCAGTGACTGTGATACGTCTTAGCAGACAAGGCCATTCGGATAGTGAACAGGAAGACGGTATAAACGGCTGTGGATATCTCGCATCACCGACGAAAGTGCTTGGAGATGGAACAACGGTATACAACCTTTACGGAAGGCAGAGATCTGAAGACAGAACCATCAAACAATTCAACAACCCAACCTTCACAGCAGACGAGACTCCAGATGAAACACCAGACGAGAACATGTAAAGGTTCATACGTTTGTAGTCCATTTAGATTGTAATTTTGATTACTTCTATTCCACTTTTGTCAATAGAAACATGCAAAAACTAATGTTCCCGTTGCAGACAAAAAAGCCTTAATGGCAGATGAGCAGAAAGTGTAAGTAATGCCATCGGCGTCAGAGCCTTGTGTAAAAAATTTCCTATTACAACATAGTGGGCCTAAAAGCGTCACAGGGTGATGGCAAAACATGGGGAACCTCTAGTTAGGTGGTAGAAAGCAGCCCACATGTACCAAAATGTACATAATTTGCATATCTTCTTTGTTTGCTGTCAAATAGCATCATGGATACTTACAAAAATAATAACCTCGAGCGCGTTTGTATGGATTACCAGGCTAGTAAATGTTAGTCGTTTTCTTTTAAAATCAGATTCTTCTCAGGGCTCCAAAGTTGGCTTGCCCTACCTCGTCTGAATTAGTATGGGAGAAGTATGGTAAAATCTTTAAAATACTACATGTTGGCTGCTTACTTAACATTTGTTAACTATTTTCCATCCACTGCAAAGTTGCGACTATGTAACAAACCGGCATCAATCAATTTATCCCTTCAAAAGGCAGTAGATTTTAACAAAGAAACTGTGATGCGAATGTGAAATTTGAGCTTTAATGATGATTTATGAGATTTTGTTGCCTAGCTCCAGTTAAGTAATAAAATTCTGGATCTAGAACTAAGCACAAAACGCTCTCGCCTTCCTCCATATGTAGATGTTCAGGGGTGATTTTTGTAGAAATTTTAATTCCTTTTTAAGGGCGACAGGGGAATCTCCTTACGTCAAAATCATAAGACCTCAATTTATTTAGCTTGTTGATTAAACCTGAGGAGCTCACATCGCTTGACATTTATGCATTCTGAGGCATCGCCAGAATTAAGATGGGTTTTGGTACTTCTCAATGAATATTCCGGCAACATCTGTGATCTTGTCGATTTCGCTATCTGTGTAGTCACAGCCTAAACGTCTCCCTTACTTATGGCACTATGGCCATGTCAATACACTTCGAGCCCTTTGGTTAGCTGGTGGTTCTTAGTTTTCGCTGTTCTCATATCTCTCGTCTTCGGAGGTGTCTCGCTACCCCGCACTCCATTTTTGACAAACCACTTTCGTTTTTATCACCAGAGTACAGGTAAATAAACAGTGTGGAGACTGCGTAATTTATGCAACTACCAAAGGATTTGGAGCTGTCCACACCTATGATAGATCCGAATCAATAAATCTTTACGTCTCCAGTAAAATTACACAATGGACTCCGGATACTCTGCCTTAAGGTCATAAAATAGGAACGAAAATAGGAATACTTTTTTTTCCGTTCAATGGACAGTTGAGACAATGCATCATTACATCGGTAATACAACTTTTAGTTTGGTGCTCACCCAAATATTCGCTTGGTATAATTTTCGTCTTTTGCAGTATTTTTTGCCTAAGTGTAATTCAAGTACTCTTCATGTACTATTTTTTTTATCGATCAACCTCTGACCCATGAAAAAGTGTCAAAGTTATTTAAATTCATACAGCCTGATGAGACGGAGAAGTGTTGCATAAATGTCACTGCGAAATGCGCAATAAAACGACAACCTCATGTATTAAAGTCAGTGCTTATAAACCTCTACCACCCTGGATTATTACCACCGCCAGTGGGGCTGCAGATGACATGTGTTTACTTTGCCAAAATGCTTGTAGGTCTTGACAGGCACGAAATTACTCACCCCTCGTGTCCCACCTTCGTTAGGACGTTGAAGGCATCTTCCATGGTCAGTTTTCATCCCTTCCCATCCCGTTACGCACAAAATAAAGTGCCGATTAACTGGGTATGAAACTTTGTCGCTTTTTTCTTTTAATTTTGCAATCAGGATGTCAGGACCATGCAGGCGAAAAGTGGCGCTTGCAATTCAAAGTGGAGTTGAGTTAATCATATGACATCAAATAACATAAAAGAATTTCGAAAATGACTAAAGTACAAACCACTATCTTAAGTATGCAGGTTCAAAGTGTGGTGTTAATGAGTTGTAGACAACGACGCAACTCAAGGATACCGGAAAAGGCTGCAAGTGATCCGCTACCAAACAACAGAAGTATCAAAATCACATAAGATCAAAAGTCGAATGTCGACAAAAACTAGTAAACCGAAACCTCGGCTTTTTATTACTTGTTGTTGAAGAAGGGCAAAGGTTTCAGTAGTTATGCTTCCTTTCAGCCTCTGCATCAGGAGGCATATTCAGTGAAAACTAAAACACAAATTTTGATTTTGTTTTAATCCCGCATGGGATGTTTTAGAGAGCAATCACTACTCGAACTTATAATACGAAGGGCTAAATGCATATTCGTTTATTTTTCGGAGAGAATAGTGCGCTGCCTTAAATTATCACCATAACACTGGAAATGAAACGCTTTCCGAGTTAGGCATTAAAAGCGCTGAGAAGGTTGGAAAGCGTAATTTAAATCAGAGCTCAATATGCGAAATAAAGTGGCTCAAGAGATTGGCTTGCACCACAGAAGGGTTGAATGCACAGCCCTACGGAGGTGAAAATTACTTCCTCTTCCGCGGTATCTTAACCGCTTGCACACCTTCTAGTTGCGGCTCGAGTCAACTTAGAGTCCATTCTAACCTGCCGTACAGCCAAAACCAAGCAATATACATTACCCAAGTTGGAATGTCCAAATAGTCATCGTTAAGGAAGTCAAAAGGCCTATCAATTCACCTACATTTTCCCCATCTGCATGCAGTTCGAATCGTTTGTTAAATGCTTGGTTTTAGAATTGGGCAGCATGATGGATCGCTGTACCTTCTTCGTTTGGATTGGCCTCAGGATCACTCTAGTAGCCCAAGGCCTCTTCCTTGTGCTGAATGCAGATGTGCTGCCTCTTCTCCTCGAGTTTTGTATCTTTCTTCTTCCTCGGGGAGGTCCCGAAAAGTCAGGTTGGATAACCTAATGCGCGAATATGTCTGCATTGCACCTATAAAGCTTTTTCTGTATACATGTATGCCAAAGCACATTTAATTGGAATGCAAATGGTAATAAAGAAGATGAGTTCAGGTTTTGATGTGCCCTTTGCATTTCTAAACGGTACGTACTTGTAATGACGATAAAGCCTTCCTGACAAACGCCAAGCATAGGATTATGGATTTTGGTAGAGTATTTAATAAGTCAGAATCGCGATACCGAAACAATGAACAGTCTACGTTACCGCATTAGATTTGGACCAAAAAATTAATTACTGCTATTATGCCTGTTTATGGCGAATTTTTGATAAACCAAGCTAGGGCACAGTTTCAGTTAGGTATTTCAAAAATAAATTTCATTTCGAGGGTTTACACGAATCGAAATCCAGAACCGGGTGAGATTGCGTGCTCACGTGCTATAAAGATTAAATGATCCATCTGCGTAAAGGACTATCGTAGATCGTCACAATTATTTTATTTGATATTATTGGAAAGTGTAGTAGAATTACTGGGGTGTAGATCTATTATGCCTGATTAGTATTGTTTGAGCGGCGTTATTGCAGGACCTCGTATATTCGACTACCTGTGTGGGTGATAATCACTTTTGTATTCACTTCCGTCATGGTTGCATAGGATAACCTGCAATTAAAGCCCTTTTTAAGTTTGAGTTTCTACTACCATTTGATTCCTATTTTACACAGCAAAAAGGTCTCGAAATGCTGTAAACATTTCTAGCTAAGTCCAACACTTCATACCACTGAGTAAAGTATAAGACAGTACCAGAGGCACAGTAGCAAAAAACTCAAGACCACAAAATTTTTGCTTATGGGTGTGGGCACTCATAAGTGACAACACACCAGCGAATTATGACCAGCATTTATACGAATCATCAACAAGCATTATAAAATAAAACTTGGTTAAATATAAAAAAGCAAATTTTATGATTTTTAAAATTAATTTCTAAGTATAGCATCCGTAGTTGCAAAACATATCAATATAAGGCTTTGAAACTATTTATTCTGTTTAGCTGTATTTTGTTAATCTAAATTATCAAAAGTGGCGATTTCTCAAAACTACGTGGTTGTGGCAAACTACATCGTGTTGATGACTGTCCTCAAAATAGTAGCTCCGCTATTCTGATTGATGACGTTGTTTTAGAAACGCTTGAATTCGGATCCGAGCTGTCCATGCTTTCTACTAGGAATAAATGATGTTCAGTTTTTATGCGACTGCGGAGGTTCGTGGTGCCAATTAAATGGTTTATACCTAGGTATTTTTACTGACGAAAGCAATGTAGCTGATGGATCTGACCTGTACACTGATGCTCTTGACGTGAGCCCTCCTCAAAATTAATTAATTGCTTCTGGTTGGCGTTTAAATACCATAAGTTTCTTTATTATTTGCAGGCCGTCAAGGACATTGATTGGTCGATGATCGATGCGGTTCTGGTATCAAACTCTCAAAGTCTGATTATGCTTCCTTACATAACTGAAATGCCAAATTTTCGCGGAAAGGTGCTCACATCGGGTCCCGTTCTGAGGTTCGGAAAGTAATTTCCATTTTTCACCTTTTCACGTTATACCCGTAGAGTTTTAGTCGATGATCTTTTTGCCGAGGCTGGAAATCTATCTTCTTCTGTCTTGAGTTCGGTTGAGAAAAGGTTGACATTCTTGGTAAATATATGTTTGATATAGTCTGTCTGACAGCCGGCGATGGCTCCTTCGTTACACTAAGGATCAGGCAATTACCGCTCTTTCAAGAGTACAAACACTGGCCTATCATGAATACGTCGTAAGTTTGCTTCCTTTGATGTAGTAATTAATGACGAATAGAGTCTTTTTGGCCTTATCAAAGTGAAATGTGTCTCCGCTGGCTATGAAATTGGTAGTTCAAATTGGGTTCTTAAAACTGATACTGAGAAACTGGTTTACATGTCACGTTCTTCTCTTTACCCTTCATTCTCGATGGTAAGTAACGGTGAACAAATTTCTTTACGACAACTTTTACGTTAGCCAATGGATTTCTCCGAGTTTTCTGACGTTGATGTTTTGATGATTGGTGCTGTAAATACCTCCGACTCCATTCCATTCGAGGTTGCTATGGGTTATTTTAAGACCATAACTGGTGAGTGGGTGTTTTTCTGATTGGTTTGATGACTAATTGACTGCAGTTCAGACTCTCGCTCGTGGTAGTCATGTGATGATTCCCACTCTTCCCTCTGGTCTAATCTACCATCTCCTCGAAGCGGTTGCTTTGGCCAAGGAGGAATTTGATGGGAATCTCCTTTCGGAATTTGATAGGCCCGTCTCTGCCTCGGCTGCGAGGGGGACGACTGCAGGAGGAGGATCAGACAAAGCTATTCCGAAAGGTGGTGTCTCTTTGGTAGGAAAAGTGGCCAATTCTCCTTGCCTATTCATCTCGACCCAGGCGAAAGCTAGTCTAGCCTACGCCAATGCCTCGGGCGAGTGGTTGGCTGCTGATCGCGAGTCGGCGCTCTATGTTGCAGACTCGCCCTTCTTCTTCGACATGGTGCGTTTCCCGATTTCGTTCTAGCATTATGAAGCAGGGAAGTAATGCACTTGCCTTGAATTCTGCCATACGAGCTGTTGAGTTCTTCTGCGTAATTATGACCTCGTGGTTTCCATGGCGGTTGGTGATGCAAAGTCTGGGTTCTCCCTTTAGAATACAATGAGTCTATGCAGAACTGAAAGCGTTAAACATAGTCATCACTTTAGAGCTTAGTAATCCTGTAAATTATACACCATAGTTTTGATTTCTCCTGTGTCCTCATTCGTCCTCAATTCCCTCTTTTGTTGCGAGGATGCACATGATTTCCAACAAGTGGTATGTCTTCTGCAGCCTCTGCGGAAAACTAGACTTTTCCATACCACCGGACTCAGGAGTTTAAATAGTTATTCTTCAAAATGGTTAAGGTTGGACGACGTTCCACTGACACTTAGTGTTCATTGCACCTCGTGAGCATAGTCGTGTGAATAAATCTAAACCGTTTGAGTAAATGCACACTTACACGGCAATTTTGTGCACTCATGTTTGCTCTCAATGTTGCTTTATCAATATTTCAAGCTCTCCTCTTATTTATCCTTTTTTCGCTTTCCGGGGTTCATTTCGGTTCTATACCTCCTTTGGTGGAAATTCAACTATCTCACTGGACACCTCCGTCCTATAGTAATTTCGCACCGCACTTAGTTGGTGGAATTGAGATTAATGTTACTTTAATGTGGGCTGGTCAACAATGCTGTGAACCCATTATCCGAGCCCTATCTGAACCCGTTTCGACTAACATGAATCCTTATCGCAAGTGTTTCCTAGGCTTAGAAGGATAAGGACAGGAGGCAGAATTGAATTTACAGATTTAGGTAGATTCGGCTCAGTCAAATCGATTCAGTAATTCTTCTTTTTCAACTAGTGGATCCGCAATCATCATTTGGCCACTCTGGCCTCGTTACACTCCACGCCGGGCCAGGTAAATAGTGGAGACAGTGGTCGTAGGAAGAGAGACAGCAGTGCATGGGCAGAGGGGGGTTTTTGGTCATCCTACCCCACTGTCTTCCTCTCAAGCCATCCCTCTTGCCGCCTTGGCCCTGCGGTACACCTTATTCGCGCACTCTCATTGGGCTCTAGCAGACAACGACCACCGCAGCAACAACAACAACAACAACAGTGTCCAAACACAAATGCTTTAATACTCGTTCAGTCGGATGAATTCTGGTGGGTTCGATTGCGACAATAATTTACCCCTCTCCTCAGCATGATTTTTTGCGTGTGTTTAGTGACCCAATTGTCATCTCGACATCAATTCATCCTATCCTTATTTGTTTTTTCCCCGTCTTCCTAGCGCAAATGTTGGCCTTGATAACTCTGTGGGACAATTGAGGTTTAGCACAAATGCATGAGCAAGTGTTTCGGTGCCCATTCTCTCCTGTTTTTCTACTGTTTTAAGCGATATCGAAATGCTTATAAATCAGCCTGAATAACATGATCGTGTCGGTACATTTTCGTACCGCAGCTGAGAATCACTTTGTGTAGAACTACTTTTTTATTAATTTCCTGAAGGCTGATTACTGTCTCACAGCAAATACATTTTGTGAGCCAATTGCTTATCGTGGGATTATTTGCCGTGAAGACAAACCTAGTTAGCATGACTTCTAACATTGGATAGTTTAGCGGATCTCTTTGCATCTTTTCATTGTGTTGTTCTAGCAATGCTCACCTGCCCGGTTATGTTTAGTCTCACTTCACAATAGTGAAGCGTAAGGGCTCTCATGTAGTATTTTTCGTTGTGAAAACATTTCCGACGCCCTTGGCCAATCTAAATCTTCCTATGAGTTGTAGTTTTGATTAATTCCTCTTCCTTCTCGCTATTTAGATTGCATACTTGTATGAAATAGGTGCTTCTTGTTTGTTGTTTTCTTTCAGTAACGTCCAACTTTCAATTTTCGCTAACTACGTAACTTCTTAGTCATAAGAAAAAATCCGGTCGATCGAACTCGCAGTCTAATTTCTTCACCCTACTCAACTCGCCTGCTTTAATTCTTTAACAGTCGAGGAAAGCTGAATGGTCATCAAAAGCTGCGACAGGTGTTAGAACCACTGAAGAGCTTTGGAGAAGTTGGAACGGATTGGAGTGAGGATGAGACGATCCTCGGACTGCCCGTTCATCGATTGGGCGTAGGTTTAACTGCCTTTTGGCTTCCCCTGCGGCCGGACATCTCGATAGCTGAACTGCCCACTCTCCTGGCCAACTGTAGTCCCCCAAAACAGGCCTTGGTGGTGCCACTGGAGGTCTGTCGTGGAGCCAAGGTCCCCCTTCCCCCGGTATCCATCTTCATTTTGTCAGAAGTGAATTTTGCAATACCACTTTTGAACAAAAATAGATGTTAGCGAAAAAGAGGACGATCTGCAAATCAGAAGCCCTATCCTGGAACCTCAAGGCACAGACGCTGACCGTTTTGACATATAGGCGCCACTCAGAATTAACTTATGAGGGTCGAGTTATGTCTGTTATTTCAGACAAAGTATGGCCTACATAACGAAGGAGCAAACGTTGTGGATTTTGTCATTTAATACCCCTGAATAAGAACAATATGGCTTGCCTTAACAGCATAGGCACTTTCCTCTAGTCAGTATCTTTTTTTTTTGGTTCGCACACTTCAAGTGCCAATTAGAATCGACACAACTTTGGCAAAGTTGATGGGAGCTTTACAATTTTAGTTTCAGCCATGGATATTGGTAAGGTATACTAAACTGCCTTAAGAGTTACAAAACAAAACCGTTTTCCAACATGCAGGCTGCCCGAGGAATTGGTTGGCGACAGAGTCTGGATATTGAGCTGGCTACACCCTCAATGGTCCGCGTGCATGTCGAGACAGAGGTTCTATCATCACGCTGCGCATTCGCTATGGCCGCTACCCCAGCTAACACCACCACCACTAACTCGGCTACGGGAGCCACCTCAGCCTCCGCAGCTAAGGATCCACGACGTGCTCGTGACACTCCTACGCATGTGGCTCTCGTGGAGGGGCGACTGTGTTTTCGCGATGGTAGGGCATATCATATCATGACTGTACCACTGCTACCGTCGCGGAATGTCTATCATTACCAGTTCCAAGCTGCTTCCGTTAGGCAGCCTGGGAAACTGCTTTGTTTATATAGCGTCTCCCCTATCCTTTCGTCGTACTTCTGCTTATGGATACTCCTATGCGATAAATTCATGATCATGGATTTCGATAGAGGTGGAAGAAAAGTAAAAACATTACAGAAACTTCATCTCTTAGGATCTTCGTCTGGCAAAGAATACCAGTTAGCCGAGTAAATTTATTGGTACACAGGTAAATACCGTCTTGAATCTCTGGAACCAGATGGGTCTCTGATGACAAGCGAAAGAGGCATGCTAGGCCGCCCCACTACTTCACCGCCACCGTCGCCAAAGCGCTCCTCTAGTCCGTCCCCCTCTGCTCCCACTTCCTCTCCACGCCCAACATGCGCGTCGGAGGCAGTAGGGGTGTATCGGTTGTTATTGGCCAAGACTTCAACAATGGGAGGAGTGACGGTAGATGCAAATCAACTGGTAAAGCACCTCACTGAGTCGGGCGTAACGGGCGCACAGGTGATCGCTGACGCTACCCTTCTCGACGCCTTCCTTACCACCCATCGCCACCTCCACCGTCGACTACCATCGCACCTCCTACCGCCTACCGCTGCCACCGCGAAAAACACTGCCCTAGTTGTCTTTGTGAGTGATCTTTCTCCATAACCAGTCGGAGGTTTCTTATTGGCTATCTAGAACTTCCCTCTATTGCGTCTTTTTTGACTAGACTTCGTTGCGAATGCATAGAACTTATGAAGGACTCTTTAACCACAAATCAGTAACCAGTTGTTACTTGAACTTTTATTGTTGACCGTTGCTACCTTTAGCCTAACTCAATGACGACAATCTTGCTCACAGAAGGGAGCAGTCACATCACATGCCAGGACGAAGGAACACGAATGGCTATTCGGAACTCTCTCCTTGCTTGCTCACCTCACATGCTCGCTGTACCCTCAGCCGTCACTTCTGCCACCTCTGGTTCACTCCACTAGCTAACTAGCTGAATGCATCTGATCGGCCTTATTTAATGTAAATAAATGAGAAGTTTGTTTCCTCAAATTTGGTCATCTGTCCATGGAAGTCGCGTGAGATTGTCAACTTTCTCAACCTCCAACTCTGCTTCTTTGTCTTCACTGCCATGGGATGCGCTTTAAGAATGACTAAAGAAGGTAGTTACGATGATGATTTGAAAGTATTGGATGATGAAAATTGTGAGACACCTGGGGTAGGTGTAGGTACTGGGGCCATCCTAGGGCTATTGAATGATATCACCGAAACGCTAGAATAGCTGCTTAAAGTCGTCAGCGGTGATCAAAATAAAGCTGCTATGGAGAATGGTACGATAAATTCCCTCGGCATTGTGCAAGAAGGCGCCATCCAGTTGGCTGTGCGAGTGGATGCGAGAGAGCAGCATGTCTGGGCCAATTGAGATTCGGTCTTACTCTCGTCGGCGGCAAGGAATTGTCCCCTAATCCGTGGGGTAGAAGCCCCTAGTAACAGAAATGGTTTGCTAAACTACTTGGTTCTAGAGAGCAATCATCTAAATAAAGGGTGCCTCATCTAAAAAACGATCTATTTTTAGTAGCGTACGATTCAATGACATTGTTGACACAGCACTTTGAGACCAAAATAAATGGAAGCGCCTTAGCACGACTAACTGACTTTTTCTCAACTGAAGAGTCTAAGTCAATGCAGCGGATCCAGTACATGTCAGAGTGATAGCAATCGCCTCGCCAAAGGAGAAGGTACATAACCGATCCATCGGTTGTGTTAGTTTGGTGCATTGCAGGAAACGAATTTTAATGCCTGCCTCTACGTAAAAAAATTAAAAGACTAAAACTAGAAAATTGGTGAGAAGATAGTGCAAGAAGGAGAGGGGCACAAATCTCACCTACATTTTTGAACCATTTTATCCTTCGCCTGATTTGTTTGTGATGAGAAGCGGAAGGAGAGAATAAGAAGTTGGACAGATTTGCCAATTTGTGCTTGTCATCACCCACCGTATTCCTTGCATTCATATTTCTCCTAGTGACAGTCACATGGATACTTGTGAGACCGGAGGGATACTTGGAAAATGAACTAGATACCTTGTTCATGGAGGCAAAATTTTGAGCCAAAATGAAATCCACAGCAGACTTGCACCCTCCTGCACAGTCTACGTTGCGTCAAACAAAGATATCACTAGTAAGTCGTTGGCAAAAGGTGCTGAAGGAGAGGCGGTGACTTCTGCTGTAAAAGGAAACGAAGAACACCACCAAAGCTACATTTGCTGCCACTGCAGCCTCCGTAGTGCGTGCAAATGAAGACGTCTATTCCTTGACGCCGTTCATCAAATGATGTTTGCATAGCGTTCCTCGATTTTACCTCGAATTAATGCAGAACCTATTATTCCATCGGAAATTCGTAAAACCATCACGAAACGCAGGCTACTCCTTTGACTTAATGGAATAAGTTGTAACTGACTGACTTACGCAATGAAGCGTAACACGACGGTAGTTGAGATGACGGACGATTTGCTGACAGTTGAATATCACCCACTGGCAAAAAATCGTGCTAGCTAATTTGGTTACCGTAGAAGTGACTTGGCAATAACAATCTAGTCGAGGAATCATGAGAAGCAAATGCATTGGAAGAATGCACAAATTTTCGATACAATACGCACAAGGTGGGAAGTTGTGATGAATCCTCTCAACTGATGAGACGATAACCATGTTCGCATAATCCAGCTTCATCGCGGCAGTAAGTAAACACCTCGCTCGTCACTGGATTCGGCTTAAACCATCCCAGATCTTATTGCATGCCTAAAACATTTCATGGAGTATCGGTAAGAAATTAAAAAACAGTTTTAACAATGCATTAACTGTTTGCTCAACTGCTAGCTTTGACAGGAGACAAATTTGAGGATTTGGCTTTGCACCTTTGTTGAATGAACTGCTCTCGGAGCCATACCAATGGACTTGGATCCTCATCTTCTCAATTCTAATGTCCTCTTTCGTCTTCGGGGAGGTCTCAGAGAACAACAACGGCGGCAACGAAGAGCAAACACGATCTCAGGGTCTAGTGCTCGTTATTCTGGTTGGTTGGTGGCAAACTTTAAAGTGATGAAAGAAGCGCGTATGCTGCAGATGAGAGTATCCGTACCAACTTCTAATGGAAGGCAGATGTTCCAATACCTTACTCGATAGGAGAGCAAATTAACAAAAGCAGTAGTACTAGCCGCGAAGGACCTGGAAAAATTCGGTGTGAAGTCACCCACGTTATCCATATGCCAATCATAATGAAACAAACACCTGCTACCCCTCCCATTCCTCTGCCAGCCAAGGAGAATTTAGGAAGAGAGGTGGGTAGAAATGAAACAAGGGTCTCAGATCAAAGACTACACCCTCCACAGAACCAACTCCTTACTCTACTCTTTATTGTTCAAGTTATTTTGCCAGTGCTAAAAAGGCTAGCGACCGACATGCATGAGGGATGATAACTTCCCTCGACCCCCAACATCACAGATTAAGCAAAACACTCAAGAGAGCTAGGTATCCTTGCGGTCAAATTTCATCGCATTTATGTGGAAACTCGATGACCGGCACTGCTGGCTCATAGGAGCCAACGCTGCTACGATGTCAACTACGAGAAACTGAAAAGGAAACAGCGGTTGCGATGGCGCTTAAATGAGGAGACGCATACGCGCTACGTTGATTCAACTCTCGACGCTCAAAATTTCTAACGTTTCGACCTCGTCCTCCAGTCAGTGCCACTACCCAGTAATCCCGGATAATCCTCCCGGCCCTTAGGAGAGTCTCGGAGAGCAACGACAGTAAGCAAAACGAATAAAACTAAATCCCCGAATGGTTATATGATAAAATTTTGTCGAAAAGGAGGTCATATGAAAGAGGTTCAAAGACTTTTAAAATTGAATTTAATGACTTCCAAAGTTGCAAGGCAAAGTAATTATTGACACTTGGGAAGATTCAATGAGAAATTTCGACTCCACTTACTCACCTGAAAGAAAACGTATGAAAACAAACAGTAGCGTAGAGCAACGTTGCCGCACTAAAGGAAAGGATTATGCGATATTGTGAGGGATACTTGGACTTTTGGATCCCACTTTGATCGCTCTAAACTACTTGATGGAAAAGTTATGCAGTACAGAAGGGAGCAATGAAAATTTAAGCATGAAGGTAGTTTGGTGTAACAAGCAGCAGGACGAAAAGGTGCAATATGAAGTTGGGATCACAAATCTGAAATTTTAACAACGAACATAAATGCGACTAACTGGGTTGGTAAAAACAGTATGAATAATAAAAACTGAATGACAGCAAAAGTGGCATGAGGACACGAGAGGAAGAGAGGTAGGCGACTCGCCATCACAACTGTGCCAAACAGTACTGCAAGGCGGGAGTAACTAGAACCAACAAATTGGTTTCGGTGACGTTGACCCCAAGGCGATTCAAGTGGGATCGTCACAATCAAAACTGTTGAGTTTGATAACTGAAGCTCTGAGAATGCCTGACGAACAAAGATGATGATAGCGTGCACCACACGCCTGGAAACAGACACCTGTGAAAAAGCAGGCGTTTGTAGTGCGTGAGCGGTGGCGAGTGGCAAATAATTCTCACAGGACACTGGCCCTACTAATGAAATGCGCTAATGGCTGATTCACCATCCAATTCAGTACCTGCATCGAGAAATCTCGAAAACTACTGCAGCTTTAAAAATAGTAGTTGATGGGAATAACAGGTCAACTAACTTCAGGTTTGGAGTTCTTCAAGACAAGGAAACGCCATGGTGAATTGAACAAAAGCTTTCAAAGAAGAGCAAACAAGTGTCACCTGCTGAAAGGGGGTGTTCGTTCCTTCCCCCCTCCCCCCCAACTAGACATCACTATGACTCGGCAGGTTCAAACGCTATCTGACAGTTTGATTGATATAAATGAGTCAGCTAAACGTAGTCACCGGCTTGTGATAGGAATCCAAAACATTTAACACTACCGATGGTTACCTAGCGTAGCAGCAGGAAACAACAGATTTTGTTAAACAGGCTAGAAAACAAAGAGCTCTATAAAAAAAAACAGAAAGAACACATCAAAAGCCAGGTCATCACTTCCAGCTAGCTTCAACGGAGCGTGCAGTAGAAAATCCCTTGTAAATTCTTGAATTTAAAGTCCCCTAGGCTGAGGTTATGCGTTCACTTTGAGCGTAGAATAACTCCTCTACATCAAGTTGATGATGACAGCAATGACAAGTGGTTTAACAGTGCCTTAATACTTACTTCGACATGCCCAATGTCTACAACCAAAAATCTCGCCAAATCGCCTCAATTTATTGTAATAAAAATAGACTCACATGCCTGAGTGGCATTAAAGCAATGAGGATGCATGTCCCCTCTGTACAATACACCGTCTGAAATGAAGTGGCTGTCTCACTACGTAATACAATGCAAGAAATCGGAACGTCTCATACTCTTTTTATTTCAATATAGCCAGAAAAGGTATCGTAGCAATTGTTAAAGAGAGCTAAACACGCCTACAAATGAGGTACCCAGACCAGTCCAAAGAGCACTCGACTCTGGTCTGCTTCTGCACTGACGGGAGAGACTACTGACTTGGCACGCTAATTAACAAATTCGCTGACAGCGTCGCATGCATAAATTGCGACGCATTCCTTCCCCCTGCTCCCCCAAGCTACATATATATATATATATACAGGGGTCATTTAAATGCAATGAGAAATTAGGTCAAGAAAGAGGATGTAAGACCAAAAAACCCCGTCAGCCTCATATGAAAACAGCAAAAACAATGGGCTGAGACGGTCGTTTTCCTCTGGGATATATCCAGATAAAGAAAGTATAAACCGAAAACATTTTCAAATGCTAGCCATCCCAACAGCCCTAAATTACCAAGAAGTGTGGATGCATTCAACCCTGGTCACAATCACACATCAATCTAAGGCAATAACACAGACCAACCTCATCACGTCAAAATACCAACACGCCGACCGAACAGAAAGGTAAGTAGGTTATACTCTTAATGCTCATGCATAGAAAAATAATGATTAATGTCAAATCACTAAAAAAGGTAAGTACACAAACATCTGCAAATGTGTGTTTGCATACAAAAGAAGTAGTATCAAAAAAGGCAGAGATGGAAGCAGAGACATATACAAAGTTATTCAATGAATAGTCATCATATTCACCTTCTTTTTTCCACTTGGTTCACTCCACTTCATGTCGGTAAATGCAGCAGTAGCGGCAATAGCAAGTAAACACAAATAGTAAAAAAAATCAGTAGTAAAAAAACAAAGGCAGTAACCCAACCTAGGCGAGCACAAATCGGCAGGGGGAGAGGAGAGGGCGACAGTGTATTGCAAATAAAACGTACACAGAGAAACACACACACACACACACCAACGGGGCAGATTGAACGTCTTCAGGTGGAGGCAATAACGTCTCTTTCCCGACTTTGCTTTCTCTGTATGAGTGGGGGTAGAGATGGACACATGGATGGCTAGCACGCAACGCCATTCACAATTCTAGGCCTCGTAGTTGGGGATGAAAGAAGCAGCCATTGAGAGCGTGCTGTGTATCCACTTCGCATGCCTCAAGTCAACTCCTTGGTCACCGGAGAGGCATCCACAGTTGTTGTGGTGAGGGAGAGAGAATCGGAGTGGGAGGGAGGTGGCGAGGCAATAGTAGAAAGCTCGATGGGATTTGTGTTTGTCACATCCCCCGATTCGAGAACGGAGGGTAGCGGCCATTGAGCAGCTTGAAGAAGAGCAATGCAACGCTTCGCTGGTGTGGAAGCGGAGGGAGAAGCAGAGCCGGGGGCGGCAGCAAGACCGACTGCCAAAACTTCAATAGTTGCATGAGCGATGGAAAGTTGCTGTTGCAACATCAGAAGAGTGCTGGTAAACACCTCCACCTCCGATTCGGCCTCATCGATCAGCTTCTCCGTGCCTAGCAATCAAGGAGGTGGAAAGAGGAGAAAAGGTGAGAGGAAAAAATTCTCACTGGTCTAAGGGGATCTAGAGACTTCTGCTCTGAAACACACCGACAAAAAAGTACAAAGGCAATTCAGAAACCACTTGCAGTGGGTGGTGCATGGAAAAATAGTCCCCAGTTAACATTATGAATGGATTTATGTAAGAGTTGACTATCTAGGTGGATCATTAGCATCATAATAGGCGTTAATTCATTGAGGCGATCTGCTTGCTCCTATAAGCAACAAAAAGGCAAGCATAAGATGTTCCATCACAAACGATTCACTGAAATAAAGAGAAGTCATTTCCTTTTGAGGCAAGAAAAGGAAACAGTCACTTTTTGAGAAGCATGAAAGAAAGGAACATGACGGATTAGTCAATAAACGAGGAATAAAAGAAGGAAAGAAGTTAGAAATAGAAAATTAATGGTCTTCAAGACTTATTTTCACGCTTTCAATCGTGGAAAAAGGGAGGAGACTCATTTTCTAAGTATTCATTCCACATCCTTCACGCTTCCTTTGATGACAAATGAAAACAAAATTTTGCATCAGAACTCGCAATGAGTTTTTGGACCACTTCTGCTTCTTTCCTCGGGCAGTAGGAAGTTGGGTTAACAAGAAGGAATTTTCAACGAATGAAGTGATAAGCCCTGAGTTCTTTCTCTTTCCGTCTCATCAGCAAATATGGAAAATTTAGCTGGTAGTTGCTTTTTACAAATTTGTAACAGGAAAAACTCACGAGCACTCTCCATCCTAATCTGTTCTATGAAGCGTCGACGCAGGCTGATGAGATTGGCAATTTTGGCAGGTCGTCCACTCTCCTTCTGCCTAGCCAACTCAGCGTTCTCCTTCTCTAAGACACGCAGGCGACTCATCATTCGCTTTCCGTTTTGGCTTAAGGAAAATGAAAAGACTGTGCATAAGTCAGTCCAAACGGAGTCTAGAGCCCCTTAGGTTAACTACCGAACTTCTTTGGAGACAGTTTGAAAATTTCGCTTTATATCACACCATTAATTTCAAGACATGCCTACAGTCGACAATCAATTCGTTGAGATCCCAGTTATCCACAAACGCTGAAAGCAACCTAAGTTGTGCTCGAGTTTGATCATCCACTACGGAAACGTCGAGTGGAACCAAGGAGACGTGCAAACGTTGGAAATAAGAAGGAGGACCATTTGATCCAGAAGCGCTGAAGCCCTAAATTACGTCGCCCTTTTAACCAAAAGTTACAGGTACTTTTCGAGTCCGCATAGCATCAAAAAGTGACCTTTCAATCTTCACCTAGTATTCAAGATATCGCTCCGAAGAAACGACTGGAATATGCTTTGCAATTAGCGCATAATATAATCAAATAGGCAGGAGAAAAGCGTAGCCTTTAATCAACAAAGGTGAATTAACAACAAAATTACAATGATGGACATTATCTGATTGCATATTTTAATGATATCCACTGCATAAAAATAGCTTTGTTGCCCTTTCTCTTAAGCATAACTTAGCAAATGTTATGACCAAAACCAAAGTAATCAAGTTCATCAAAAAATTGGGTGAATCAGGAACCATTGAAAACTTTTAAGTAGACTGGAAACAATTGCAAAGCGGACAAATATACTTTCCACAGACACCGGGCCCAATGTCACAAGATGAGTAAACCACTTTGTATTTCCATTTGAATAAGTTACAGAACGCTTAAAAAAGTCTAAGGAACTAAAGCACAAAATCTTGATGTGCAACGAGAGACTAACACAAAGTTAAGATTACGGAAGGCAACCTTACAAAAACTCAAATGGCAATGGATATGCATAGGCAGCCTTGGGTATCTTAGCCGAGTCAATTCATTCAACAATGGTCAGCGCTGCTTTTACATTGCTTCGCTTTGATATTCACTTCTTTTTTAACTTAACTAGAAGCGGCGGGTACACATGTTCTTGGTGGATGAGCTTCAAAAACTGGTTCCGGTCCAGCCAGGCCTAACCTCAAGGACAAAAGTTTCGGGTTAATCAATCCTTTGGTTAAAAATGCATCCAAAATCAGTCATTCACATAAACTTACTGAACAAAAGTGATATAATAGGCAGAGTCTAGTCTGCGAGATTAAAAGCATGAAGATACGGCCAGAGGAAGGAATAAAAGCGGATTTCAGAGTGATTTCCCATCTTAAAACTCAAGTGTCCAAAAGACACGATTATGACGCCTCAATGAGACAATAATCAAAATAACCATGCATATCTTATACTGCGTAGCTAGAAGGAATACCCCACACATCCACCTTTCTTCGCCCTAATAATGTTTACAAATAGAAACGCCGTTTAAATTACATTCCTTTCCTAAACGTATAAAAGTAATTTCAACGTTAATAATAATATTTTCTTTTAATAAATGACATTCAGCAATTGCTATAAAAGTAGAAAAGAATTAATGATTTGCACAAAAGAACCTTATGTAACTTTGCGGGGGAAAATCTCAACATGAAGCATCTAAGAACGTAGCACCGACGTCTCTGGAGGATTTGGGTCTGCGAAATTTCATTCCCAACAAAATTTTACTTTGAAATTTGAAGCAAGTGAAAGAGGCTCAGTGATGGTCCGCTAAACATAGAGACCGAGGTAACGAAACTCCGGTCTACTAGGAATCGCATGCTGATGCAAACAAAGTGGAAATTTGAAGGCACAAAAACAAGACATAAAACAATTTAACTAGTACTTGATCGCATGTATAATCTTCGATTGTGCTACAAATGCTACATTTTTGCTTAAAAAGTGTTGAAATCGATTCAGATTCGGTGCTCAATACGGATAGATCTAGCGATTCAGGAGTTGACAAAATAACGAATCAAGGTATGACACTATAATTACAAAACTTTGGCACATATTATTAACTCATAACACTGGACTAAATCTGTTTCGGTCGTGAAGCTCAAGTTCACGCACCTGTCCTCCGTAAACTTGGATCGCTGCAGCTCCGCTTGGTTGGCCGCAACCTGCGCCTCCGATGAGCGCAGACTACGAAGAAAGCGAGAGAGTACCAAATCCACACAAGGATCAATGTGTGCACACGAGAGATCGGCAGCGTTGCTTCCGCCACCACTACCGCTTGTAGGACGCTTCAGGATGGCTTGACTGCGACGAAGCCCAGAGACTGTCGTCATTGTAACAGGAAGTGCAGGTGGTGGCACAGATAGATTAATATTGAGAGGAGATGGTGATGGTGACGCCTGCAGCGGTGGCGTTGTAACTATGAGGGAGGGACTTGAGTCCCTACAATCTGGGTTTCGAAGATTCGAAGGCATCTACATGGAAAGCACTTGGATAAAAGGTCGCCAATATACTGATTGAACGGAAAATACTCGCATGATCTGTTTAACAATATAACAAGAAAACCGTACGGCCCAAAGTTCAGTACGAATCCCAACAAAAACCAAAGCAGCCAGTTAAAGTACTACACCCATCTGGGACAGGATATACCTGCGATTCGTATGAGGAGAAAATCGAGTAAGGTACCAAGAGTGGAGCTTACCTCAAGGGATCATTAGCTACAATGAGTTGATAGACTATGTAATGCACGAAAATATGACAATATGATAAGTGAAATCCTCGATCCTGAACTGAATCTAAAACACTTAAGCATATGCTCAGTCACTAGATAGTTTGAACAGCAACAGAAGTTTCATGACACTCCTTAAACATCGGCGGCCTACATACATAAATACATAAAGAGGAGACAGCAAAAGTAGTGAAGAGCTACATAACAGCAGTAAGCTGTGACTGGTAAAATTCGCCAGTGTTATCGGACAAAACTAAATTAGTGACATTGTTCAAAGTTGAAGCCTCACCCAAAATGAATTTTAAGGTCTCATAGAGTAAATGCAGGTTGTACAAATGACTTGAATTTAAAGTCGGCAGAAAAGTAAGCTTTACTTGCATATATTCCGTAGGCACCCAGCCGATAAGTTTTACGTGACCAACCTCTACTTCACAAACCGCTAAGTACGTGTAACAGATGCGATCATTGACAAGGAGACAAACATAAACAGCGATTAGCCAAGGGATTTCAGAAACGGAATGCTGAATCTGACTGCTTTTGTATCACTAAGGTCCGCAGCGATTCACAAAAATACACTGGGAAACCAGACTATTGGAACTTAAAAACTAAATATCGCGCCCAGCGACAAGTTACCGCCAATACTACAATTCGACGGAACAACAAAGGAAGCATAACTACCAAACAGTGCAGATGAACCTACCGAAAAAAAATTGGTCAAGAATATATAAATAGACCAGAAACGTACAAATGATAAGGCCATCAGCTTTTGGTCAGTGAAGCCCAGTATACAAGCCAGGACACAATGCAACATACACAACACACAGAAAAGAGAACCGATGTAAAACGGAAGCACCCGAAGAGCAAAAGTAGTCCAACCACTACTTCGAAAAAATTCGCATAAAACTGGTTTATGCTATAAGATCTTCAAGAGATAAACCGGTTTCAATCAATTGCATTACTACATCGATTAAGTTGAATGCGAAAGTTCAAAAAGGTATTATAAAAACAAAGACTGAAGAGGAAGGAAAATTCTTCTAATACGGATGTTGAGCCTAGCATAAATAACATACCAGAATGGTAAAGAAAGTAATCCAGGAAGCAGTTAAATTTCCGTTCAATATCAGACAATATCAAAGAATCCCATGACTAAAGACGATTCGCAAATACCAAAAATACATTCCAGCTCATTTAGATGTGTAAAGTATGAAACACTGCAAAACAAACCACATGGCACCAACCACAAGGCGGTTAACAGAAGTTACAAAAAGTGATGCACAAGAAAATAAGGTGCAAGACCTCACCAGGCAATTTTGGATATCTCTTTCGCAGCGGAGAGTCTTGATCCTAATCGTGCGCAATAGCAGCTCGGAGTCAAGGGCTCGCTGCTTAATTTTTTCACCTACACAGATATATGAGTCAGGAAACCAGTTTACGGAGCGCTTTGTTCTGAATGGAGGCCTGAGATGAACGTTCTACAAGAACCTTCAGAACATTCTTTTGGTGCTTTATCCTACAGATATACAACTGTAATCATAGGTACCGTCGAAAAAGTGCATCCTTTCTAGTTAGCACCTGAACGTTCGCACCGTTTGTGCGAAAAGACTCCATAGTAATCATTGATTAAGGGTGCGAAGGGCGAAGACCGTCAGCCTTCACAAAGAAGCAGTTTCTGACGACCTTGAGGTGGTACGTTGATATCCGCTAATGTATAATCATGCTAAGGCCCTAAATCAAATAACCATATAGGACCATTTTTCTTGATTTTACAATGTGTTTTTAGTCCATAGTTTTCTCACCCGAATTAGACGCGCATATTGCAACACTGCTCATTTATATAAATTAGGCAGGAGTTAACTTACTTTTATCGCACAGATGATTTTATAAAGAAATCACGTGTGCCGTTTACGTTATTTTGTTACCCGCTTCCAATATCGTTATACGTTGCTGCAGCGGTAGATTTAAAACCTGCAAGGTGCTTCAAGATGAATGTCTTCAGGCTTGCTGGTGATATGTCGCATTTGCTTGCCATAATTTTGCTCCTTGTTAAAATTTGGAAAACTCGTTCCTGTTCTGGTGAGTACTTCCTTGCGAGGAATTTTTACACTTGCTGTTGGCGTCCACTTGAAATATTTTCCAGGATTTCTATCATGGTGTTTCCCACTATGCTCGATCATAACGCTTCCTCTTTTGTCTACACCTATCTCTTTTTTTAAATTTACTTGATACCATTGTGTCTTCTCAAATTCCAGGCCTGTCGGGAAAAACCCAACTGATGTTTGCTTTGGTCTTCACTACCCGATATCTCGATCTCTTCCTCTACTTCGTGTCTACATACAATACATTGATGAAGATCGCATTCATTATTCTTTCGTACCTTACGTGCTATTTTATGTTCTTCAAATTCAAGACGACTTACGATAAGGGAGACGACAACTTTCAAGCCTTATACCTTCTCATCCTTGCTGCCGCTCTTGCTTTGTTGGTCAATCACCATTTAACACCCATCGAGGTTAGCTAGCACCTTATAGTTATTGTTTGCTACTTATACACCGTGGGTCGGGTATTCCAGGCCTATACGTGCCTATCGGGAATGTGGATAGTTTCATGGCAGGAACCACGCTTTCCAATTATTCGGCCAGTACATAACTCTTTGCTTTAGTTCGGAGGGAATTCGAGAGTGTCGCTTTTGACAGCTCTAGGTCTTAGGTCTATTTCTGCACAAAGATGTCAAAATATATTGCATTTATGAGTTGACGCACTTTCCTTCCTTATTCTTTGGACATGTGCTTGATTGTAAGTCTTTTGGACCCGACATCGTAAGAGTTATGTTGCTCTCGGAAGTTATTTTCCTTGCCAGTCTCTCAAGCCTCCTTTTTTCTTTATCGGAAGCAAGTCCTTTGAAACATAGTTATCAGGGAGTTCTCAATTCTTTTTCCTACTTCTAGGCACCAAGTCATCGTCCTCAAGTTATCGTGTGTATCTTGAACGCCAAAGTACTGATGTTATTACATCTTGTTTTTTATATTGTTATATTTTGTGTAGGCCTGGTTGTTCTGCTATCTTCAACACTGGACACTATATGATCTCTTGGGTTATACCACATATTTGCTTAACTTCTTAAAAATCTTGAATGAATCTTCCTTTTTGCCTAGTGTGTATTCTATTAAAGAGTGTTAATGCCGGAATGACCGCAATATGATGTCACAGTTGTCCCATTTGGTCAGACTTGGTCTGTTTTTACTTGAAATGAAATCTTGCTGGTCTTGATTGCAGTGAAGTGTTTTTATGACACTCATGTTCCCTCTGAATCCATGCTAACTTTTTTCTCGGGTAAAATTTACTTTTGAACGCACATTTCGCAATTTCATTGCAAGGATCATTCTTTTCTCATCATTCGTCAAAATGAAGTTAGTATTTTAGCAATCATTTACGAATCGGGAGTAAATATCATGCTTTAAATTTTGAACTTAGTTTCACCATATGTGCCGCTTGCCGACGTATACATTGCGCCTAAGGTCATATCTTCGCCTTAGTCCATATTTTGGAGCGTCATTGGTCTTTGCATTGGTCAAAAGCATATTACTGTTTCTTAATCTGATCTTCCCTCCTACTGTCACTCACCCGCTTTCGCTAGCTACGTAAAGTTAATGTAAGTGTTAAGAAATTCTTCTTTGCGCTTTATCTTCATCAGTTGCGTTTGGTCGTGTACTGTTGATGTGGTACTAATGTTTCCTTGATGAGCTGTTACCATTTTTTGACTCACATGTTCATTACCCGGGTACTACAATCTGCACTATTTTCTACTTTGCTCTAACCTGCTTACCCCTGTTTCATTTGGGGCGCCTAAGTCAAATTGGTACTTGAGCTCGTAAAGGAAAAGAGTCGTTTCTAAGCGAAAAAGGACACACTTTCCTCAATACATCTACGTATTTATTCTGCCATTTATTCCCGCAAAGCTTTATGGTGCTTGATTCAAAGCCTTTTGGTGTTGTTGTTAATGTTTTCCGGTACGAACATCCAGGATGCCTTAAATCCTTGAGTCATAAACAGTTTTTCTATCGTTTTCACGGAGAAATTAGTAGTTTACCTGATCGGAAGAGACTGTGAATTTAAGCCACTCAATAATGCTATGTCCTGAAGCAACCCAAATGTATTACTCCAGTTGGACGACATATGAGTAGGTATATGGGGGTTCGAATTTCACGTCTTCGTTGGGGAGAAACGTCGTCTATTAACACGCTATTGTGTTACACTTTGAATAACCCTACCTAGGGTAACCCATATCATAGGTTGGCTTCTGTTTTCATTCTGTTTTCATTCTGCCTTCCTCATGATGTTCATGTAGATGTGCATTTTCCAATTCAATTCCATTTATTCACGTAATAACGTTGCCTCTCACACATTCCAAATTTACATTCTCCTTTATTGCTCCTTTACTGTTTGTGGTGCCAAAAGGTTGCCAAAAGACTTACCTATTACTGTAGGTTTTGTGGACCTTTTCCATTTACTTGGAGGCAGTTGCCATCCTACCACAGCTCTACATGATCACCAAGACAGGGGAGGCGGAGACCATCACGGCGCACTACCTCTTTGCACTGGGCTCCTATCGCGCTCTCTATATCTTCAATTGGATCTACCGCTACGTAAATGAAGACACCTATGAGCTCATTGCAATTGTTGCAGGCAGCATCCAAACCATCCTTTATGTCGACTTCTTTTACCTCTACGTCACTCGTGGTGCGTCTCCTTGCTTGCTTGTCTATTGCTCATCTAATGCTGTTAGCAATCTTGATTGAATTCCTTTGTTAAACATATTTCTAGGCCGTGGTTGGTTGATGCCTGCTTATCCTGCAATTTTCATTTCTACTCGAATGCTGAACCGAATGGTCTTGTCGGCTACCTAATTAGAATGGAATCTTGGCACAGAGTCCTAAGCATTATTTGAGGTCTAAAAATTTGCTTCTTTTCGCAGCATTAGATCTTAACAAATTTGTATCATTGAAAGAACATTCTTTTCTGGCACCTAATCAGAATCGTGATTTAAGGTCCCCAATTGGGACTCTAAAGGTCGCACTTGTCAAATAAATTGTTCAGTCACTTTGCTTCCCTCAGTGGTGTATCACAGAGGTAATTTGTGGTATTACTCGTTAAGGGTTTCCCGCAGCCTCATTTTATCAATGCTATGGGTGTCTTAACCTCCACAATAACACTAGTCGTTATTTTAATTTGCAGCAAACTCTGGATTGTGCCTTAGTGTTGACGAGTCTTTGCTGTAATTTGGTACAGCGCCATAATTTTCAGCCTCTCATTGGCTGTAATTGGGGGGAGCTATGAAAGTTTGTCGTTTTCATCGCTTTTATCCTGAGGTAAGCCCATTAACACAAGCGTCGTCAAGCCTGCGTGAATTGAATTACTGGCTCGCAACCTGCGTTTTTGGAAGAGGCATTATAATGACAGCTGACTCGATCTGGCCAAGGAGGGCATTCTGTAAATACTACTGTATAATCCTTTTTTGGAGGCGTGGGGAGATCCCTATGGTCCGCTCTTAGGCTAAGTAATCAAATATGTACTGTGTTTAACTTAAAAGCTTATCTAGTTGAAGGCATAAATCCAAAGTGTTGTCTACGTATAAAAGAGTATTTTTCAGCTCTTTACCTCGGCTTTTGTTTCATGATTGAGGCTCAGTGCGCCCCCCAACTTGCAGGCTCTAAGCAAATAGTCCGTCAAAGTGTTTAATGGTGTAAAACTCTAGTTAGACATTCGCGCTTTCACCGCTAGTCTTTAGGTGATTTGCTCGGAAACCCATTGTCGACCACTTCAGTGAATATCTCAATCACGGTCCCCTTCTAAGCCTATAACAAAGCTCAATAACTAGTCCACATGCATCTTGACAGATCGGAATCATGAAGCCTTTGTGTTTGAATTACCATCTCTGAGAATGAAGGTTTTAAATCAATTGCCCTTTCCTAAAGCCAAATCGCATCAAACGTCGATGTCTGCCACTGGTCATGCTTATCTGTGTTTGTGCATAATAACGGTCCTCTGAGCCTCCAACATTGAGGTAATGATCGGTTTAAATGTAACACACAATTATAGCATCAAATTGACTGTTTCATTTCCTATATGTATGGATATTTACCAGGCGAGGACATTTTTCTCTTCACTTTTCCTTGTTTTGATGTCATTGAATTTGTTTCCAATGTTTGATTTGACGGGATCACGGATATTGTCTCCGTTGGCTATGAGCGCTTCGACAACCGGCGCTGGTAACAGGCTCATTACATGCATGCTTTCACCAGTTTACTTAAGATTGAAGGGATGCGACTTGTGAAAGTCAAGAACATAGGACTCCTCCTCTTTAAAAATGTTAGTCTCTTTCATGTGCTTACCATTCAAATGCCCTCTTTTACTTCTTCCAGTCCTGAAGGGCAAGTCGCTGGTGCTGCCAGTTTGAATGTAAGTCATCCCATGCGGTCAGATGGAGTCCTCCGGCGTGTCCCTGTGTGTAGATTGCCGTCCTTACTGCTTTGTTGTTTTTTTTGTTTTATCTCTTCCCTTACGCGAGTGGGCTCATGGTCCGCTGCATATAAGTGCCTTTTTTGCTTCCTGTTTAAAAAATTTTTCTTTTCTGCCCCCGATAGAAGTGTGCACTCACTGTGAAGAGTGATGTTTTCTTTGTTCGAGGATTTGACTGGAGGGGCAAATACAGTTCTGCATGTATCATTTCCACATTTCAGTCTAATAGTTTGTCAGTGCGCAGTTGGGTGGACAAAGCGAAGTCGGTCTTAGTGCGCCTTCAGCCCTCATGCACTGTGATTTCGGTCCATATTGGACCTATCCGGAAATGCACCTGATGTTTCGGTACGATACTGTTATCTGGTGGAGTTCAGCATTCATAAGGCAGCTTATCCCTATTTCATGGGAACGTAGATTCTTAGGGCTTTGACAATGGAACGAGTACAGAAGAATTGTGGTGAGACTGAGGTGTCTCGGTGCTTTCCACCGGGTAGAAGGAGCGGTAAGGGGGGCTAGGTGCATGTATTTCAAGGAGGATGCAGTAATTAGGTTTGGGCATAGGTCGAACGCCAGCACAAACGTGCAAGGCTTAGACAAATCTTAAAGTGACCGGCGGACATCAGGTGGTAACATAGACAAAGTGATGCGGAGACTGTGGCGCCCTAAGGCTTTACATTTGGTAGCCGAAATCATGGCGTCTGTTTGAATACTTGTACCAAGACGGGAGGAGTGGAGGGTGGGATCTAAGCTTTGGTTTGGAGGATAATTTACCGGACAGGGCCATGATGCCTACCACAAAGTCTTCAACCCATGCAGGCAGGCGAATACACGAAGTATAATGGAGCAGCTTTTGGGAACGTGGGAAAATCCAAGGGTAGAGTGAACCAATTTCAGTAAACTCTTATATTTTAAATAAATGCCGCTGATATTTGGCAAGGCCTTCAAACCTTAGCCTAATTAACAACATGGTTTTTTAACCGATAAATTCGCATTCTCAAAATACTGGACTTGCCTATATCTCGGAAAATAAAGGAACTCAAATTTATCTGTAATGTCATGACGTAAAATCAATGCTTAAATTGCCCTGTTATTTTCGATTGCTAAGGAAGAGAAGGATGCTTGCAAGGGGAGAAATGATTAGAAAATATGAATTTTTGCAATCTTGAAGTTAATTGGGTAGTTATCCACCTATGGCAGTGTTGGTTTTGCTTTTTTAGTGTGGATGTGAGCGCCACTGCAAGAAACGAAAATGTCCGGTAGATTTGCTCCATCAAAGGGCGATTGGGTTTGTAGCGATTCAAGGTACTTCCTCCATTGTTATCTATTTTCTGAAGATGTGGAAATCTTAACTTTGCCCGGCGTGATAAATGCAATAAATGTGGGCGTCCCAAGAAGCATAATCAAGGTGGACATAATTCCGGTAAAGAAATTGGTAAAGAGTTCGCTGAAAAGAGTCGAGGTCTGTTCGGTCCAGATGATTGGCAGTGCAAAAGGTGAATGTTTGCCCATCTTTTGTACCGTTCTTTCGTTCTGTACGTTAATCTAATGTTCTCAACTCTAACGCGATTCGGACTTTTGCTTTGTCATTATTAGTTGCGGTAACGTGAATTGGGCCCGACGAACTGTGTGTAATGTTTGTAATGCCGCAAAAGTCAACACACAGGGTCAACGAACCGGTTATGGCGGAGGTTATATGGAAAGGGATGAAGTTGTTGATTACAAACGCCACGATGAGTCCGATGATGAATATGACGAGGTAGTGGTCTGCTTAGATTTTTCTCCTTTTCGTATGCCTACTGTGACTATTACGGATATTGCTATCGTCATGCGTCTTTCCCTTCTTTTCTAGTTTGGATTAAAAAAGAAGAAATATCGGAAGACTCATGGAGTAAGGGGCTGAGTTTTAGTAGAACTGAAGGAATTTTTTTTACAACCTTTATGTTGAGGGATTTTTTTTTACTGTGAAGAGATCGTATATATATCTGTTTTGTTCGCTTTTTTTGTTTTAGAACGGCGATGAAGCAGGCTCTGAAAAAGTGACAAACGCAGAGAGTGAGGAACTCATGGTGAATGAGAACAATCAAGAGAAGAATATGGACTCAGAGAACCAGGAGAGAGAAGAAGAGGAGGAGGAGGAGGAGGAGGAGGAATCTGGAGATGATGAGGATCTTGCTAAGTACGACATTTGGGGTGACGACGAAGGAGGCAATAACGACCAGAAATCTCCTACCGCAAAAAATGGAATAAAGGAAGACTTGAAAGAGGACGATGAGGAGGGAGTTCAAGTGGAGAAGGCGCGTGCTTCGTCTCGATCATCCAGCGAAGGCAGTAGCAGTAGCTCTGATTCTAGTAGCAGTTCAAGTGATGATGAGAGTTCTTCGTCGTCCTCTTCCACTTCCTCCACGTCGAACTCCCCTTCGACGCATGAGGAAGAGAAGCAGGCGTGATTGTGAGGATGTCTCCCTTGTGTACATTTATCTCCCCATTGTGTTTTACTAAGTACTGCCCAGTCAGTTGATCATACTGTGGTATTTTAACTGGAATAGCTAGGAGGGTCACCTACACTTTAAGCTCTAGCGTTATATTCTTTCCACAATTTCCGCCTAGGTTTGTGTCATTACCTTAAGTATTTTAAGGCTCATTTCAAATCTGTCTTGGCGTGCTCTGTCAAGCACTTGGAGCAGGTTCCAACGGTACTTTTTTGGCATCTTTCGTGAACTAGGTGACTGGCAGTGGATCGATGAATGCTAGTTTCTGACTTATTTGACTGAGTTATTGATATCACAACTTAGCAGCTTTAAGACGCTGTGAGGAATCTTTAGTAAGTTGGAACGGACTGGTCATTGTGGAGGACTAACATCTGAACGGTTTATGTAGTTTTTATCGAAATTGTAGAAAGAACAGAGTTGTGATGATCATTGATCGAAACCAACCGAGATGGACGTTTCGATGTTTGTCTACAAGATTTTAGTCTATGTGAGCCTATTTGAATGTTAAATATAGGAAGACTTTCAAGGGGAGTGTCAATTAGACTGATTGCGGTTTTGTTGCATTTCTCTTACTGACGGGAAGAATGATTACTGGAAGTTTCATCCATATGGGATGCATCGCCTTCAGAAGCCATCAACTAAGCGCCAATGCAGCCGCCTCAGCGTTATATTCACTTCCGATGGTCTGAGCGGGTGATGAAATGGGAGGGCGAGAGCAAGGCGCAATCTTCCTTTTCCCCACTCCGACGAACATGTAGATCTTCCCACGAGTCAGTTTTGTGCCATGAGGCAGGAGGTGGGAGTTCTCGTGGTGATGGGGTCTCTTACTGATTGATGGGTCGTGGTTGCTTCTGCCTACCTTCCCCTTGCATGCTTTGCACTGTATTGTAACGAGTGCATGGAGAAGGAACATAATTTTTTGGAGATAAATTATAAAGTTCTTTTTCATGTGCCTTTTAAGGACGAGGCTGTTTGCGTCTTAGAAGTGTGTTGGGTGGATTGTTTGATGATGACCTATTTAAGAAAATAGAAGCCTCTTTCCACTGTGATTCAGTCAATACGAATTCACGAACCTAGATGAGAGGCGCAAAGAACAACTTGGTGTTCTGAGGCATTTAAGGTAGGAACAGGTGGAATTATTTGCTTATCAGATGCCACTGTTTCAGCAGTTTGATTTGGTGTCAACGGAATGTTTTATTGTTCCCCTCCCTCCTCCCTCCCCCACGTGAGACATCACCCGATGCTCTGATTGCATTAAGTCGTGGTCATTCTTTAGGCTTGAGAATATTATGCCATCAAAAACTCAATGGTTCAACGTTGGCAAATGCAGTTTATGACAGAAATTTCTGCTTAACTGACGCGCTCAGCAGTAGGCTTCTGCATCCTGAAAAGTCCAGATCAGATACAAATGGGAAAAGCTGACAAGAGTGGATACAGTTCGCCTGGTTTGACGGAGAATATAAAAGGTGATCATTCTTGTCCTGTTTGGAGGCTCATGCAGAATACAACTAATTGCGATAAGGCACACCTCTAAGTCGGGCTAATTTTTCAGGGCACCTCAGCAAACCGCTCCATTCCTGTGCTCTTTGGGTTCATCCTGTTCCATCGGCCATTACACCACATAGGGTGTGGAAGAAATTCTTCATGACTCAAAGAAAAAAAAGGATTATGCGCCACTTGTACATTAAGGTGAGAAAGTGACCGAAGCTAGGGTCAAGTGTACTTCGTGTTGTCACAGTGAAGAATAACGAAGTCTGGAAGGTGCAGTCCATATCAATGTCCTCCAATGCGTCCACCTCAAATACAATTCAGCATATAGTTGGGGGCTTTATTATAGGCTGAAATTATGCAACGAACGGAATCGGGTAATTACTGACTTGTGTTTGCCCCTCTTTTTCATGGTCGGTGTTGACTTTCGTAGTTTGTGGAGCAACGCCTGGCATACCGATCTCCACGGATACAGCTGTATGGAGTTATTTAGTCTTTCCATTTCCATCAAGGTTACATTCTTCTCCATATTGATGTTAAGTGAGTCTGCACCTAACATGCCCAAATAGTGTGACTAGGCAAACGCTAGGGTAACTTGCAGGTACGACAGCGGATAGCTTAGAGGCTCTGTCACTGCTTCTCCACCAAACGGGCTCTTAATTCGCTTTATAACGTCTCTGATCCATGGGCAAGTAGTGCGTCTCCTTTGGCATTTTAAAGTTACGGACTCTACAATGTAGAAGTATTAATATAATGGTTAGCTGCAACGTGTAAAGTCTTAGCGCCTATAAATGTCATTAGTCGGCTTCAATATACGACACCGTTGGGGGCGATATACATGCATGTCGTACTTCATCATCTGTTCCCTGGTTCTATAATTCATAAATGGTTTCATTCAGGACAATTTTGTTTTGTTCCACCTTTTTATAATGAATCCCTAGAAATTTTTGGACAAATTTGCCATCCTGAACCCAATGTATATTAATGCTTCCAACACTTCGAAGAATATAGCAATTAACTTTTTAGTTTGACACAGCTATCTGTCAGACTTAGTACGAGCAAATCTAAAATGAATTAAATTTTGAATATCATGTAGAACTTAGAATCCATACTTTCTTGTAGAAAACTGTGCTGTCAAGCCAAAACACAATCCGAGAGGACAAAAGAATTCGATGTTGTCAAACATGACATTGATAAGACTCACTCCCTATACATTCGCTTTTATGCGCCAACTCCGGCACTCATCTTCAGTCATAGTTTCACTTTAACCCTGGTCATCAAAAAGCTAATATTATGTCTTACTTAAAACATTTAAGTAGAAATGTTAAAACATTTTTGACAGCAAACTGGGAATGAAGTTTAAGTTTGCTTGCACAATGCGAAAAGTCGATGCACAGTTTGAAATTCCAAGTTGAGAGTAAGCTCACGAGCTACCAAACTTAATTTTCTGCTGGAAACCCCTCGAGGGTGGAACCCATCATCAAGAATAATAGAGACCTTTAACAAGGTGGTCAGTCTCACCTCCGCCTATAATAATTAAGATACACAACCGGCCTACGTGCAGTTCGTAATGGTTGCATCATTGGCTGTTTTCCACTTGCAGCCCACGTATAAAGGTCAGGCATTTCACAGTGCCTAGCCCCATTCTTACTAGTGTGCGTAAAAGTGATGCAACGTAGCGCAAAGGTGTCGGCAATGTTTTCTTTCAAAACAATGTTAAAAATGAAGAAAGCCACATCATGGTGAGAACTCGTGCCACACTCCTCTTAGCCTGTTCATGTAAAGAACCAAATTTTTAATTACAGTAGAAAGGAGAGGAAGGTGGTGGTGGTGGTGGAAGATGAAAAGAATGAAGAGAATATTCTCTTTTTCTCATTCTCGTCTTCAACCGTCTGTTACATTTAGGCAACGGCGCAACTACGTGTGAAAGAGAGTAGATGGAAATTAACATAATGTATTAATGTTTTGTTTTTTCCCCTCCAGAGGTGAAACCCCTAGTTTAAGAGAGATGGCGGATCGTGATGATGACTTCACCAAATAAGACCCATTCCTAAAGGCATCGTAATTCAATCCGATTTGTTAATACCCAACGGCATAACGCCTGAGATGTTTGAGTACTGTATGTTACCACCATAAATAAGCCTTTTTCAATGAGTTCTATACGCCTGCTTAGCTCAAAGTGTTCTCGCCTCCTTCCATTCAATATATTTGTGATTTTGTCAGGCATCGGTGACTTGTTCCGTCTACTACACCATCATCTACGGTTTGGAGCATCACACAGAGGTCCAACGTGGACGATACGTGCGCACGTGTTCGGACGTGTTCGTGCCCCAGAGACTATTCCGACGACCATTCTTATAAATGATTCATTCACATCTGACAGGCTCAATCACTAACGTGGTGTGGACTTCGACAACACCACATGTCCATTCATGTAAGCTTTTCCACTGATCTTGCTTTGACCCGCTGACTGACTCTCTCATCTCCTCCACTGTTGTCACTGTTGTTTTTCTTTGAGACGGCTTTAAATTTTCTACATTCTTGCAGTCTGAAATACCGAACGCACACTGTTCGCCCGCATTTTAACCTAGTCCGTAGTTTGGCTTTGCTGTGCCGTGTCATTGCAGCCGAAATAAATAGACTTTTAAGGAGAAGCTTCAGCAAGTTTACTGAATTTAACCGATCATCCTCTGCACATTTCCTTCCAATGACACTTTTCCTATGACCTTAGGGATGTTAATGGTAAGGTACGAAATCGTCAGTTCATCCTCCTCGAAGGCACTGGAAAGTACTTCAAAACCTATTGATAGACATAGAGGGTGTTGTCTTTGTAGAAATTAACAAAAATCGATAAGATAACTTGATTTTAAAGGTTGACACCGTTGCCCACACAGTTCCACGTCTCCAGTTGGAATTAACGCTGATTTACTGATCCAATCTCACTGACGACTAAATCTCTGCACTGGGTGGCTCGGTGGCAGTCGCGTTATCATGGCAACTGAGCTCGAATCAATGTTTATTAATGCACCGGTTAGGTCCTGCTCACCGGACTTCATCATTTGACTGGGTCAGGGCGCAACGAAGCACTGCATTCTCATTCAGTCCCAGAATTGCGACCACTTGGCATCACAATGCATATGGTGACACCCTCCCATCCGTCACAAGAAAAGGATCAAAAGCCTTCACTGTATACACCTGAGGAGGGACTAGTAAAGCCCTTCGAAGGGACAGGCTTGAATCTGAATCAATCCATCTGTAGTAGTACGGACGACACCTCAAAAATCAGCATTTTTGAACTTTCTATTCCGAGTACTTCCACACCAAATCCAATCCCCATTCCTGGTGAAATTGCACCCACACTTAATGCTAAATTGGCTCGACCAAGTGTTACAACGCCTCGGTGCCGAATTTGCTACGAAGAAGAGATAGATACGTCCTCTCTCATTTCGCCCTGTCGATGCAAGGGAACAGTGGGCCTACTGCACAAGACCTGTCTAGAGCACTGGCTTCAGGTCTCACAGACGATTAGCTGTGAAATCTGCGGCTACTCTTACAATCTTCGGGCTAAATCACCGCTGCCCACCGAGCTAAACATTTCAAAAACGTCTGTCAGTTTTGCAATTGGACGAATCAATTTCTTACGAGAGTGGTTCTACTCGCGCCTTGTTCAGCGTCATGTCATAACTGATTGCATCTTCTTATTTCTTCTGGCATCAACTACTTGCATTGGAATGTACTTCTGCATCACAACAAGTCTGCACTTCCTACACACTGAAAAGACAATGATTTGGCAGATTCCAGTACTCATAGGTCTTGCTGTGGTTTTACTGCTTATCTTTCTTTTGTGGATCATTCTTGCCATTAGACATCATACAAAAGCCTATCTCTCACACCGACGCCATCAGGAGGACCGAATTAGGGAATTCTTTTACCGACGAGCTCTTGAACGGCACTGGAGGTTCTCTGTGCATCCACGACCCAGGGGATCGTCGTTTGCCTTGCAGTCCTTCTCCACGCCAAATACGACTGGATGTTTAGAGGAACGAGAGGAAAGCGACTGCGCTGATCACGAAGACATGAATGTTGTCCTTCCATCCCTCCACCTCTACACAGTGGCAGAAGGAGGTGAGGTGGAGGAGCAGGAGGAGGACAGTAGGAGCCATTCCATCGTGTGAGCAGAATTTTCAACCTCCGCATTGCGTAAATGCTGACAATAACTGCTTGACAATAAGCAATTTGTCTGAAAATGTTAATTTCACACCTTTGCTCCAACTCGGTAAGTTTAGCTTCTCAAATAAAGTCGGTAGTTATCAGGTGGAATATTTTTGAGGTTTCACTAAGGTACATCGAAGTGGGCGATTTGTCTCTGTGAGGTAAGGAATCAATTCGGCAAGAAAGTTCACCACCTGAGACCGCTTTGAAGAAGAAAAGAGACGTATTGCTTAGACAGAATATGTGTTGTCGACCTATGGGAGGTATTTGAGACAGTGGCATGGTCCAGAGGTCAGACGGCTTAATAAACGCACAACTGTGGTGACCTTAAGTGACCTCTTAAACACAACCAATAATTGGACAATCAACACACATTGTTTAGTCTCGCTTCTCTTTTGAGTGTCGCCCGTGACGCACTGCTTGGCCAACCCTCTCAGTGCGTCACTGCTGGAGGAAAAGTATCCACAACATAATCGCGAGGATCATCAAATCGCCATGCCAATGGCAGTTCTGAGGCACATGAAGATTAATCCGGGCTGAGAAGTGAGTTGGGAAAAGCAGAAAGGGAGAAACGCACTGGTCATTGCACTCATCCCTCCCTAGTCTTAGCAGCACTGACTTCCGCAGTAGAATAATATAACAGAGGAGGGGATTTAACACTTACTGAAAATAACAGTTTGTGTCTTTCCCCTCACGCTAATGTTAAACCCACTTCACTACCGTCCACCCATATTCATTTGGATTATATCAAGATAGTTTATAAGGAATTTCGGTGGTACGCCTTCACACAATGCACCTTCTTCAGACAGTTCACTATTAGTGCCATTTCATTAGCTAGTAGCGCCGAGGGTTGAGGTCACTTATCACCCTTCCGGATTGAGCCCGTCACAAGACTTTCAGTCCGCTGTCTGTGCACCGTGTCCGGCTCGTCATATTTATCACCAAGCCAGTGAGGGAATGGGAGTTGAAGTCCTTTACAAATGAACTCGCTCGCTAATGTTCGTCTCCCAAACCTCTTTTAAAGTTAAAAAATGACACTAAAGGAGATCCGAACGTGTCACATTGGCATACAGAAGTGATTGAATTCCAATTCCTCAATGTGAGTACATTTGTGGCACATTTTTGGGTACCTTCAAGCGTTCCAGGGCCAAAATCGAGGCTTGAGCAGATCACTGAAAGAATGCAAACATTCTGGGGGACTGAAAAACTAGCAGTATGGGTAGCTTGAGAATGTCTCAGTCTCGTCTCCCACCCACGAGAGCGCGTCTTTGAGTTGGTGGCTTGTAAGACAAGAGCAAAAGTCCTTCCATGCTTCTTCCATAAACATGAAAAGAATTCGTCGCTTGACAGTAGTCTGAACCAGCTTTTTTGTCAGATCACGCTTCACTGTAATCGCTTTTTGCCTGGCAAATCCTGTAATGCAAGGTAAAGCCATGGAACTATGGCCTCCTTTCATTCCCTCGACCTAACACTGGTATTCACCACTGCTGAGGCAGCCATTTTCCGTTCCAATTAAGTTACTGGCTAAGCGGCACCCTGACAAGCGTTGACATTGATTCGACTGATCCGTGTGGATATTTGCGGATTTAGTCATCTACATCATTCCTAGACTTTCTATTAGCTACGAGAAGGCACAAAACTTGTGCAAATACGCATATTTAAACACGAATGAAAATGGCCGTCCAGGTGGTCGCCAACGTTACTGGTAGCCGAAAAAAAACGAAGTTCAACATTGTCCCGCCCCTATTTGGAGCTACATTTCCGATGCTCTACCCAACAATCCTCTCACCGCAGCTAACATGTAACTCGTGTCACATGAGCATCGGCCAGAAAGCGAACTTGGATTTGGAGCAACTTCAGTCCCCTTTCTCATCGTTTGCACATTTATTTACAGCGAAGGGACTGAGAACGATATCCGCCTTTAGCATCGTCAGGCTCTTACCAACAAAGGCGGCATCTGTTGTGATTTGGAGGCGTTACAACTCAAAAATTTGTTCCTTCCAAGGTGCAGTCGTTTTTTGTTCGTATGTCCTACAGCCGCCAAATAGCAGTAACACCAAAACGTTTTGTGCATGTATGCGGGCTGAGGCGATGCTGATTGGCCTGGGGCCAAGGTTTCCAAAGTCACGTAGGCTGTGGTACACGCTGTTTCTATTGGCAATCATCACAACATGTTCTGTCGACTGACAGAGAAACTAACAACTTCTATTTGCTCTGAGTTTCTCATAAACAGGTTTTAGTGTTGCAATAGCTAATTCTGAAGTAGGTTCGCTTATAAATGGCAGCCCGTACCAAGGCGACGGTCCAGTTTCACTCATTTAAGCCTAGTGTGTCAATTCTGCTGGCTTCTGGCTATTCCCACTTCTAATCACTGTTGCTTACTTCAAAATTATTTGCGAATGCGTTGGTACGACAAGCAACCGAAGGCCAAATATGATTCCCCACTTAAGTGACGGTAGCAGACCTACGTCGGATACGCTCGCGACTAGCGGCTAGGTGGTGCCCTTTCAACCACAACTTAGACCATCGTCGTGTGTTTATTGTGAGTCTCAATGTGTGTGCCTAGGTTTGGCTCTGGGTGAAAAAAAAAAAATGATCGTGTCTCTTAGCTCTGCATTTCAGCAGAGTTGGCGGCCAAACTATCAAATCTGGCGACGGGTCGTTATGGTATTCTTTTCCTGCCCACCCTGCTCCCTCTCCCTCCCTGAGCAGTCCCACCTTAAGGCCGTGTCAGTAACCGCTATACCATTTCTGCTTGTCAACAATGCATTCATTCGCCACTGTCTTATAAGAGAAGGGAATCAGTATCCTCGAGGACGAGGACGTGTAAAAAGTACTCTTAAGTCTCACGTCCAAGTATTGCGAATTCTCTCATCTCAAGTGAAGTTGCGAATATCGAAGTCTATTGGAAAGGAAGTGATGCTGATACCTCGTCAACAAACTCATTTTTCAGCTCGCATTCATAGCCTTCGTTATACCAAAAATATCAGTTACTGGAAACGAGCACTGACATAAGTCGAATCTGCATCATGCAGATGGCAAACTAGGTAACAGAGGACGGATTTTAGAGGCGCTAAACGGAATGCTAGATAATATGGCTAATAACTCACCCCCAGCACCGAAGAGCTCCATGAGTTCGATGATACAAGTTAGTTCCCATAAATCACTTTTGGTAAACAAAACCATAGCACATCCAAATTCTTTTCCACACCCAAAACGCGACTGAGGAATGGTAAAATGTAAAACAATCGGTTGAGCTTTTAACAACCTCTTCCTAACTGAAAGGGAAGCCAAATGTATAAATTGACGCCTGGAACAAAGCGGTAATCGCTTGTTTAGTCCATGATTTTGGTTTGGACCATCTAGGGATCGCCATCTCATCGGCATCCACATTGCCTTCTCCCCCGACATCATGACTTTACCCAATTCCAAAGCAGTCGCTCAACATCAAACCATCCAACTGACACAACCATAACCACCCCAAATTCGTAGAGTTCCACGCTAGCACACCCCAACTCCCGAGGCAGAACTTTCCCACCAAATCTGTACACACCCGCGGTGAACAAACCAGCCCCTAATCTTTGAGTGAGAAGCAGCGCCAAGACGCCGAGATCTTACTGCATATGTTGACATCCATTCCTAGCTCATGATATTGGCGACTAGCAACACCCCACTCCCACCTGGCGCCTCACTCTCCCCTACAATCCCACACCTTAGCTGTTGTGGCATCACACCCCTTGCTGCTTGTTTTCGCAACAACTCAATTACTATTGAAAAACCGTGGAAAGTACAACTCCAGAACATAATAATTGTTCTGATTCTATCAGTCCACCCCGCACAGCATAAAATGACCTGCCATAATGACGAAGGCAACGTCGCACATCCATGATGCAAGACGTACGAAATGTTGACAGCGTGCACCAAAGTCACAATCTTGATCTTAAAAAATGTCGTGCTTGCCATCTTCCAGTCGAATGACGCCTATAAATTCCAGGAATTGGAGATTTACATGATTAAGATCGCAATGAACAACGAACAGACAACACAATAACACCGCATTAGCAGCACACTTGAAGGACATGCAAAACTCGTGGCGCCACCTGAGAACCTGTCACAGGAACATGGTAATAGGGAAACAGATTTCACCTGAAGCTGGCAATTAATCATTTAAACACTGTATAATCCAAAGGGAGAGACTGATTATCTTCCCTTCCATCTTCCACAAAACACGGAGAGTTCCCCAGAAGATCAAACCACGACGGCCTGCATTTAATCTACCATTTCTTTCAAAAGTCCGCTATCATGTTCGTACGTCAAAGATAAAAGCAAATCAATTGGCATGGATGAAAGGAGCAAGGCAGGATTTATAGTCGACCAGTTCCTCCTTTTTGAACCAAAGAGCGATTTCGCGATCAGCGGTTTCAATTGCGTCAGATCCATGGACAATGTTGGCGCCAACGCACTGACCAAAATCAGCGCGGATAGTACCAGGAAGACTCATCGCAGGATCGGTCTCTCCAAGAAGCATGCGACCGAGTTTTACGGCCTACAAGGCGAAAAATAGACAAGGCCCAAAGGCATTTGTAAACAGCAAGCAATTAAGAGGTGAAAGCGAACCTGAGCACCTTCCCAAACCATTGGCACGACGGGGCCAGAAGACATGTAAGCGATGAGACTCTTGAAGAAAGGCTTCTTTGCAAGGGCCTCGTAGTGCTTGTTAAGGAGAGCTTCATCAGCACGCATAAACTTCATCGCAACCAATTTGAACCCGCGGCGCTCAAAACGCTTAATGATCTCACCAACAAGACCACGCTGAACGCCATCTGGCTTCACCATGATGAACGTACGTTCCTGAAACCCTCTATCAGAGCTCATCCTGCACAGCCTAACAACACGAGAGATTCAGAGGAACGGCTAAAAGTGCAGAGGTCAACCTTATTAAAAGAAGAGCAGCCAATCGCGTGGTAGATATAACCACATGCCTAACAGCAGCATCAGCATCTCGCGAGTTTATATTTATAGAAAATTATACATCAATATTTTTAGGTCGATAAGAAATCTTACACACGGCAAAGCCATACAAGGGGTATATATATTTGAGAGAACTAAAAAAGGGAATAAATACAGCGCCGATATTGCACTACAGCTTTAAGGCTATGTATAAGCAAACAAAAGTTAACAGAACTCATTTACAACTTTAAAAGACCCAATTTGGTAAGAAGAATAGGCACATCTGACTTTGGCATTTTTTGAAGTTTATCTCACGGGCATAAGAGCACGATGAATGATATATTATGTTATATTTCACCCATCTTCTTTCAATCGACTTTCACGTCGCTCCCTCTGGCCTACCTTTCGCGCTAGACATCGCAACACATTCGATAGTGCAAGAAGGCATTCACACTTCAGCCATGCAGGTTGTGGGTGTAATGCTTTGTTTATGTGACTATCGGACGTTTGGCGATCACTTTAGACTTTGTCTGGCCTCTGTCTGCGTGGGCTGGTCTTCGAGCCACACTCAGGCCCCATTTGCCCTGTCGTCTTCGGAGTACGTGTATTCAACATCACTTATGTATTTGAAGTTCAACTTCTTGGTCTGAAGTTAATTTGCTTTAGAATGTAGGCATCAGCGTCTACACTTCTATTAACTATCACTTGTACCATGGGTGAGACATTAGAATATTGGTCTGAAACAGATCCATAATAAGGAAAACGAGATCAGCATAATGCAATCGTCGACTTCTTTGCGCAGCTTCAATAAAGACGACTTCGTTGCGAAACATATAAATGTTGTATTGCTGTGTTGATACCTTGCCTGTGAAACACAGAAATAGAGTGGATGCTAAACACAGACATCAACCTCCGCCCTTTTATATCGCTGATTGTAATATATTCTAGTTGTTTAAGTGGACCTTTATAGGTGAGAGGCGGAAACCAATTGGAAGCGTGGATCACGTGCGCGAGGTCGACGAGGAGCCTCCCTGCGATTGACACCTTCTGTTCAACACATCTGTATCTTATTCCCCTATCCTTCTTATAGAGATGCCTAATAAATCGTCTACAACCAACTTCCCCTTAAAGCATATGCATTTAAGCAACACTACTAAAGTTTGTCATATGGGGAGAACCCAATGACAGAAGTGTCCTAAGACTTCCCCTTTCGTGATGGAAGGCATTAAGCACTAATGATTGCTTGTATTCAAGTATGGAAGCGAGATGGCCACCAAAAGGACTGCTACACAAGAAAGCAGGGGAGTAGGCGAGGAGTATTGCACCTAACTCCAATTTTTCTTAAATGGTACTTAATGCACTAATCCTATTGAACATTTTGAAGAACATTTACATTAGAGGTGTTCTGAAGAATCATGGGCTCTGTCCAGAAAATACTGTCCCTATTAGGCAACAAATGCCTATTAACTTTGATTCCGTGTGCCCGTGTAGTGGGCATGGAGTGAGGAATGCTAGCATAGAATATGAATTGTTACCTTCTGCGAATATGGACGTGTTTTGGACACCAGGGCCGCAAATCGATTCCATTCGTATAGCTTTAAGTAACCTATTATACAAACCGGTATTGATTCTATTTTAATTACTAAGCGACATATTGATCGGGACCAAATGGTCGGATATTATTAAAAACAATACCGTGCTACGATTACTTTATCTGTTAAATGAGACACTTTCGTATCAAATCCTAATTTGACGCAATGCACTGTGCTTTACTTAGTAGGAAGGGGGGAAGATAGAAGGGACGATTCTTGGCATTCTAACTAAAAATCGCGCTTTCTTGACTAATGCCATCAAGGAACTCGATGAGGACTAAAATCTTTTTTGTGTTCCACAGCACGAACCATTTGATTGATGGTTTTGATCTAGAGCACCCAGGGATCGCATTACTTTACCTTCACTAGGCAGTCTGTCCTCGAAAACAAACCACCTACGCATTCAGCACCCCCATTGCCATTTCTCGCCAACCGTGATGGCCTTACCCAAATCCAGGGAAGTCGTAAAACATCAAACCATCCAGACTTGCCAATCTTCCACCTCCAACCACCCATTAACACAGCCATGACCACCCTAGTTTCGCATGAGTCCACACTCGTATGTCCTAACTCCCGAGACAAAAGCTCTCCACCACATCTGTACTCATCCACGACACACAAATCAGTCACTGACTTGTTGAGTAAGGTGCAGCACCAAGACGCCAAGGCCTTTCGGCGTATGTCGACATCCATTCCTTGCTCATGTTATCGGCAACGAGCAACACCCAACTCCTCAACCTGGTAACTACAGCGCCCAACGGATTTCCCACTAACTAGAAGAAAGCATCCATTCTGGGCGGTTACGAATAGAAGGGTCTTGGCATGCGAGACGAAGCCAAATGTTAAAGTCACGGCCAGACATCAGGTAGTGATAGAAAGAATGTTGCACCCACATTCCCAACTGTTCTACTATCACACCTCCCATTGTTCTTCGCCTCACTAATTCAACTGTCACCCAAAAACTTCAATTCTCTTGTTGCTTTCGTCAACTTACCCCGTACAACGAACAGCCATGGCAGAGAACAACAAACATTAAACAACTGCCAACATAATGACATCCTGTAGGGACTTGTGAAGTGGACACATTACATTTTCATCACACTTGGAGGACATAAGTGTATCCCACTAACGCCAAGAAACAGAGGCAGGCGGGCTCCCCAACTGGATGTATCGACAACTTCGGGCATCTAACATCCTGTCAAACGACGAACTTCCAAGTATTCGTATAAATCGAGCCACGATAGAGTGCGGTTTCAGGGATGTTTTCATAGTTTAGAAGAAATACATCCTTGTAAATGTGCAATGGATCATCCTTTTTCCAGCCTCTTATTCATTTTTAGCTTTAAATGAGTTGTTAAAGCATGGGATATTCAAATGGTGCGAGTATTTTAAGCATTCAATTACAATACCATCGATACCTGGCAGTTACATCAGTATTCGTCTGGACCTTGTACATGTGGGCCGGCCTGCGGGACAAGCTTAAGCTAAATCCATTTTTGTTCCCTCAAATATAGGCTGCGATACTTTGCTTATGCGACCGCCTGATATCTGGCCCTGTTACAAGTTGGCTGACCTTTGGGCCATGCTCATACCTACTTGCTTTGTTCCACTTGAAATGTATGCATTTTAGCCTCCAAATACTGCTTCTTCTGCCTGGTAGGAAGTCTCAGAATCCTACAAGTGCAATCAGTCAAAATTAAAACTTACTTCTTTCTTGGTGCGATTCTTGGGACTCCATAACAATGGTTTCGATAGCATTTATGGTAAATATGATAATCAGCATTGCTTCGTGATGCTCAATACATATGACTGCCTCAATGAAGAGCGCATATTTTTGAGGCCAGCATGCTTATGTCGCCTAAGCTAGACTTGAGCCCAGTACCTAGCTCCATTTCTACACTTTCTGCCAAAAAGTAAGTATGCAGCCAAGCCAAATGCATTCAACTACCCAACATGAAGCCTCGGGATAATACGAATGTAATAAATACTAGATTTTTAAGTGGACTTATGTAGGTGAGGGGCGGGAACCAAATTTGGAACGCGAATTTTCGTGCGCAAGGACCGTGAGGAGTCTCTTTCCGGTTGATATCTTCTATCCGGCTCATCTTTGCTCCTACATTTACTGCAACTAACCCTCTCTTGAAGTCCGTGGTTTAAGAGCATGAGGCTAAACTGGCAATTCCTACGCCGGTGGCAGCGCCGGCCGACATCCCTCCCTTCAAAGATGCCACAGATTTCGATGACTGCCTTTTTTTACAAAGGCAGAGGTCAAACTCTACGATCCTGCACGGAGAGTGCCATTGCTACTCCGCGCCTTGCTCTAAAACCTACGTCGCGAGCAATGGACACGGGTATCACACTTTCCTCAGATATAGGAGAGCGCTGTGAGGCTCTCGTCAACTTGACATCCCTCCAGAAGGAAGAAGTCTTCGTCTCAAACATTTTTTACCGGTTACAAAAATCTGGAGAGAGGGATGAAGACTTCGCGGGCAGTATCTAGTCAGCAGCCAAACAGGCATTTAAGGATTGTTGTCCCCTGCAGGTTGTCTCATGGATAGCGGCCCAGCACAAAAGGGGTGTACGTCCACCTGTCTTGGCAGAACAACTAATGCATATGATAACCAGCATATTGAGCTGTCTCTTCGATGCGGTAGTCTCTAAGCGCCAGGAGGTCCAATTCTCAACGGAGTTCAACACCCGATTTCGCCCGTGGACTCCCAAAAGACGGCCAACTATTGGCGGGCAAAGGCGCTCACCCCGAAGCGGTCTCTCAGTACAAAGTAAGACAGAATTTTCTTTGTCATGTCTGCTTTCCTCACGATCTTCTACTTTTATGCGTGTACGAGGCAATATAGAAGGTCATACATGCTCTTTCATTCTGGACTCGGGTGAAACCTCTTCCCTACTGCATTCACAAGCCTTCCTCATGGTTTGCAGCAAGGTTAATATTACTCCACCGGCTGCCATAATACGCTCTGCAGCTCTCAGTAATAGGAGAAGCATCTATCCGAGTGTCAATCGGTAAGGATGGGTGGGAGGTGAATTTTGTGCTGTGTCCAGAACTTGCGCATTAGTTATAAAGAGCGACGGCGGCCTACGTCTATGTGCGATTGTAGGAGGCTCAACGCATTAACAAGGAAGGATGCGTTCTCTCTACCCCACAATAAAGACTCGTTGGACTCTCTGCAAGGAGCGAAGTGGTTCTCGACATTGGATCTGAAATCCGGCTACTGGCAAGTGGAGGTAGAGGAGAAGGATAGAGAAAAGCAGCCTTCATTGCGCTAAATGAACTATATGAGTTTCAACCGATGCCTTTTGAGCTTTGAAACGCGGTGGCAACCTTCCAGCGACTTATGCAGACGGCGTTGCGCGGCCTAATCACGAAACATTGTATTGTCTATCTGGACGACATCCTCGTTTTCGGGAGAGACATCAAACAGCATAACTCCAACCTCTGATTAGCACTGGATCACCCTCGGGAAGCAGGTCTGACGCTGAACCCGAAGAAATGCAGTTTTCTCCAAAACTCGGTCATGTTCCTTAGACACATGAAGAGAGATAAATCACTCCGTTGTGAGGTGGTACGGAGAACTCCAGTAATATGATTTTATAGTGCAATATATGAAAGGAAGCTCTCATGGTAATGCGGACGCTCTGTCACGGAGACCCTTATCACCGTCCACGGATAGTAGGTGGGCTGTTATTGAGCGAGCCTACTTCCCATCACCGGAGAAACACGCAGAGCGCTGACCCCGATGCAGCTTTAGTTGATGAAAGACTAAGGATATCTTCGGCCAAGCCCAGAGTTGAGGAGATGAATTCGGCTAGCAAGAGAAACAAGCATATATGGCAGAACTGGGAAAAACTCTCTAGAAGACGATGTCATGTGCTACAAAGACGATAATGCGATAGGTCCTATATGCCTCGCAGTACCAGGTTCCTTAGTTCAGACATCCCTGTTGGAATTACATGAGCAACTTGGCTATGTTGGGAGCAGGAAGATGCTTGGAAGGAAAGAAGGTATTTGTGGGCCTCGCTGACATCGGATGTCTCCGATTTTTGTCACGCATGTGTCAAGTGCATCAAATTGAAGAACTCAACTCGCATGGCAGTAGACCCTCTACAGCCGATACCCACAGGCTTTCCTAGGTCGGCTTCTCACAACTCTGAAGGAGAAACATTATATTTTTGTGACGTTAGACTATTTCACCGAGGTCGCAGAAGCCGAGTCATTACAAGCGCAGGACGCTGAGACAGTAACAACCGCATTCTTCAATTGCTGGATCTGCCTGCTTCCGTACATAGCGACTAAAGGACTTTTAACAACTGAAGCGACACCGCCGAGAACTATTTAGAAAAGTTTCGTGTCAGAATTTAAGATACAAAATTCGAGTTTAGGTGCCAGAAATGACACTACGGTTCTTCTTACATATGGAACAGTGGCTCATCCTGTTTCCTCTGTAACATGTATGTTTAGACCAGTGTTCCACCACCTAGCCCTAGAAGCAGTTGATGGTCAACAGGTGTATGCAGTCCCGAATTTGATTGTCAGTCCGATCGTAACTCCAGATGCAGTTGAAACTGTCAAGGAGATCAGGTACGATTTCTCAGTCTCATGCTCTCTGTCGACCGACGCGGTTGGCTCGTACGTGTGTTCATGTAGTACCGAATCTATGGTGATGGCTGGCGCGGAAGGTGTACCAAAGGGAAGCCTCGAGGACGCCGCTCCAAAGGAGAGATCGGTATTGTAGTACTTTATGTGACCACATGGCGTTTGACGGTCACTTTTGGGTGTCTGACCCTTGTACATGTGGGCTGGCCTTCGGGTCGCTACACAAGTAACCCTCTTAAAGTGCGTGGTTCAAGATCATGAGACTAGGCCGGTAATTCCTATACTTACTGCCTTCCAACAACTAATTTAAGTCTTGGGACATCAAACTATGCGCCTCTTCTCTCCGAATACGGGTGTCTCAAGCTATTGGCAGCTATTAGCGCGGCTGGCCTTTGGGCCACTCTCAGGCCCCATTTGCCCTGTCGTCCTCGGAATACATGTATTCAACCTCACTTATGCCTTCTTGTGCCCTATGGGAAGCCTCAGGGGGCTGCAAATGCACATAAGATTTTGCTAACTTTCTGCATAGAGTAGAGAAAGTCCCAAGCATCAAAGTACTGATATCTGTAAATATAATATCAAAGGGTAACAGTAGGCAATTTTTCTTTCGAAAAAAACGTTTGAGCTCTTTGCTTAGTCACCTAAGCCAAATCTAGTGCAGATGTGATTTTTAAATTACTGATGCTCACGTCTTAGACTCAATTCATGCCATATTTTGCTTCAACATCAGTGTTTAAATTGGTGTTCCTCCACTCCGCCTAGGTCCATTTTTCTTTATATATATATTCCTTGGTATGGGTTTGCCCCGTCCAAATGATTGTGGAATTGCCGCAAGGTTTTATGAAAATCCCGAGATTATAGCCAATTTCGATCCAGTGAGGACATGGCTTACAAGAAACCACAAAAAATATACCCAGGCTGAACCACCGACCAACAAAAGTCTTGCTGGTCTCTGTTACAGCCTATTGATGTTTCAGGAGCAGCACTTTGGAAAGAATGTAGGCTTTAGAATGTTTACTTAAGATTTTGTTCAGGGCTCTCCTCCGAAGCTACCGTCAAGATTGTTCGTGGACTTTAAGCCTGGTGGTTCTTTGTGCTACATATTTCTTATATGTTTGAAATATCGTCATGACCAGGGGTGGCGAAAGCTAGATTTTAGTTCTCCGAGAATTGATAAATTTGTGGAAATGTTTGACAACATTAAACGAGAATTAGCCCATCAACACTTGTGGTCGAATCCATGTGTATATTTTGTTAACATTGATGAGGTTCGTTACTTTACTTTTATTGCTCCTGAACTTTTAATATGATCTAATCTACCTCTTTTTTATTCGTTCACAGCCGCTTGTTAGCCGCTTGCGAGATAGTGCTATGTTCTTGGGTGCTGCCATTGCCAAATCCCCTGAAGAATCAACACATATAGTTCACTCTCCTCCTGACAACTGGCCTGGGAATGCTCGTGATGATTCAGTTTGCCAACGGTTTCGACTTATCTTCAAGGAGGGTCGCGGGCTTCTCTTGCACTGGCTTTTCTCTCCTGGTTCTTTTGATACTTGGCATACAAGTTGGTTGTGGCTTTTCCTCATAGCTTAGTGTCTTACGGATTGACTAAGCTTTATTTTTCCTTCCAGACCTCCCCGTTGAGTGGCCGATGAACATTGAACCTGAGCCTAGAGTTCCCGGAGGCACGCCTTGGAATGTTGATGCTAGGTGGCTTCTTTACTCTGCCGATTATCGTGAATGGATGTTGGAGGAAGATTTCCTTCACTCTGGTGGTTCAATTCGTCCTCGTAAATCGTTCACTTGTACGCTTTCTTTCTCATAAGCTATTCAAACTAAAAACATGAAGTAATCCTTTTCTCACCCTTCATCTTTTTGTAGATGAGGAGTTCTTGGAGGCAGCTAACGCACAACAAGTGCAGACACCTGCTTCCGCATGGACTAGCTCTTTCTCTGCCTCCTCCCTTTCCGCTTCTCCTCACATAGTGGCTGCTCCTTCCGTCGCTCCTCCGACGCCCACTGAATCCAATTACAAGAAAAAGCGGAAACGGTCTCCATCCCCCTCAAGTGAATCCTATGGAGGTGGCGGGGCTGGCAAGAAGCGCCGACACGGCTCTATTGTTCCTTCCGGCCCTTCTTCCAAACTTATCTCCTCTGCCAGGAAGATGAAAAAAGAAGTGTGCTCTTGAAAGCTGCATTTTTTTGCATAGCTTCCAAAACTAGTCTGGCTTCTTACACACCTTTCTTTGGCAGGACTACATGGAACTTACTCCCGAGGATCAGAAGGATGAGAATACTAATGACACCGGCGATTTGACACGTTCCTTAGATGACCCAGAGCCGCCAAACAAAGTGACTCAAGTAGCCCCTGGCACTCCCGTTAGCTTGACATCGAGGAATTCGCGCACTTCGCTTGCTACGGCTGATCTGTGTAGGCATAGTTTTTTAGATAATTTTTCCCCCTATTTTATTTACATACGTTGGTGTAATGGGCTCATTGCTTCAAATTCGGTAATTGACATGCCACAGTATTTCTTTACTGAACTTGTAATTTGAATTGTCACTTGATTTGTTGCTTTATCGAAGCTTCACTATGTGCACTTGCTTTTTGATAAATGAATGTGCACAAGGGATGGGGAAATTTATGTAGTTAATGCGCTTGTGATAATCTTCCTTCTCAGAAACTGCATCCGTTCAAAACTCCATTTCTGCCATTTCTGTGGGCACGCTAATTAGTGTTATTTCCTTAAATAACTTCTCGTGCCTGCACTGTGCTCGGCCTGTGGCACCGGAAAAGTGAAGCAATTTAAAAGCACGAAATGCTGCTATTTTTGATATGATTCACCTTATCCTTTGGTTTTGCTGCTGTGTAAATCACTATTCAATTACCGAACGACCCTAACGGGATCACCAAAAGTTCCAGCTTTGAGCTGCTTCAAGGTGCTCCTTTCTCCGATAATAATATTTCTAGTGTTTATCTCTGCAAGACAGACTTTTCAGCTGGACGTAACCTCCGCCACTTGCCTAGCTTTTTTCCTGTCCATAATCTGGACTAATCAAATAGATGTAATTTTATGTTCGATTTGCTTCTGTCCGTCACACGCCAACTCACTGGAATTGAGTTATTGCTGTCGAACCATATACCCCTACGAGTGACGGCACACGACTTCATGCGGACAGTTGTCGTAAACTTGAAATGAGTTGTCTAAAGTGGTTCGTAGACTTCAAGTAGGTAAGCTTGAAGGGTTTGAGGTAAATTATTTTGACCATTTCTTATGTAATTGTCACTAAATTGTTTTTCTATGATGTACTGTCCTATATCATTTTGGCTTAAAAATTTGCTAAACTTTGGGGCACACTTTACTGTAACTGATGTAGTTGAATTACTCTCACCTTTTTTGCTATCCTTATTTACAAAGTCTAGATTTCACTCTTGCTTCCAAATGCGTCATCTTTATTTTTGTCCTAACACTTCACAGTAGTTTGCTAAACGCGACTCATTTAATCCCCTCTATAGCTGCTGGTGATCACCACATGAGCTCCGACCATCCCAGCGAGGCCACCGGAGCTACCGAAGTCGTTGGCAGTGGTGCAGGCGATCAGGTAGGAGTTGGGGACCTAAGCGTGATAGAGCAGGCACATTGCATCGTTGTTCCCTCCTACTCCGCCTGGTTCGACTACAACGCCATCCACGCCATCGAACGTCGATCTCTACCTGAGTTTTTTAACGGTAAAAACAAGAGCAAGACTCCCGAGACCTATCTGGCATACCGCAACTTTATGGTTGACACATACCGACTCAATCCTCAAGAATATCTTACCTTCACGGCTTGTCGACGTAACCTTACAGGCGATGTATGCAGTGTACTTCGCGTACACGCTTTTCTTGAACAATGGGGTCTAATCAACTACCAGGTTGCAGCTCCATTACTGCCCTCCGGCGGCACTGCGCAAATGCCTTCTGAGGCCGCCCGTCTAGCCGTGGCTGCAAGTCTTGGTCCACCATCCACTGCCCACTTTAACGTTCTCACCGATAGTGCTAGCGGTTTGCAGCCTCTAGGTAGCCAGAACCAAGCTGCTATGGCAACCCTTGCTGAGGAAGCGGCAAAACAGTCCAAGGAACAGTCCTCTGAAGTGGGAAAGACAGAGGGGACTGATAGTGAGGTCAAAACTGGCGTCAAAGTAGGTTTGCTGCGACTTTTTCATAATTCCGTGCAGCAGTTTTGAAAGTCATAAATGAGTTTCGTTAATGCACCTCGTTTCGATGCGTTTTCCATTGCTTATTTGGCATTCCAAATCTGTCTCCTTTCGTCCTAATAATTGGTTCTGCCTCGTCAAGTTTCCGAGTGGGGTACTCTTGGTTCGGAGGAAATTACCATTTCCTAGTCGTTGAGTAGCATTAGTTGAAATAAATAAGTTTAGTGGTCTAATTGTTGGTGCCCTCAGACAATGTAACGTCGGGACTATGGTGGTACACTTATTCTTTGGAGTTCTAGTAACCAACTTGCTATGCCTCCCCAATTGTTAACTTCCATGCTGCTGGAGACTGTTGTTTTGACGATGATCATTTATGTAATGTGGGACTTTTTGAATAGCCTGAAATCGATTTGGAGGGCCGATCCTCTACGATACAGCTAGGACAGACATTGCCTGTGGGGTCGGTGGTGTCTGGAGGCGGAGGTCCTCCTCCATCAACCGGTGATCCTCTCCTCCGTAGCGATCAATATTTGTTGGGCAATAGCGATGCAAGTGGAGTTGCGGGTACCATGACGACCAACCAAATCCTCACAAAGGGTGCCACAAAAGACGGGTGGACGGATCAGGAGACTCTACTCCTTCTTGAGGCTCTTGAAATGTACCGAGATGACTGGAACAAGGTGGCGGAACACGTGGGCAGTCGTACACAAGATGAGTGCATTCTCCACTTTCTTCGCTTGCCCATAGAAGATGCCTATCTGGAGGGCGATTTTGGTAGTGTCTGCTGCTCTGCGCTGGCAGACGCCGCCCACCCTCAACCACCTTTCTCTAAAGCGGGAAACCCCATCCTCTCCACTGTGGCATTCCTCGCCGCCGTGGTTGATCCGCGTGTTGCTGCCAGCGCAGCTTCAGCGGCACTGAAGGAGTACGCCCAGATGCGTGAGGAGGTTCCAGCAGGTCTGCTACATGAGCACAAGGCTCGAGTTCAGGCTGCCGTGCGCATGGGTCGTGAGGTGGATCCCACCAAGTTTGGTCTCGATGAGCTAGGCATTGTAAAATCGGAGGATGGTAAAAGGAGAACTACTGGGGAAGGCGAGGAGGAACAACAACAGTCGAAGGAGGAAGCCTCGGGATCTGTAGAGAAGTCATTGGAAGAGATGAATGAGAGCGCAATCGCTCAGAGGGGAAGCAGTAGGGGTGAGGGAGAGACGAAATCGGTTGAAGGCGAAGCGGGACAGGAGGAAAAGGAGGCAGAAACGGAGGAAGAGGTAAAATCAGAACAGACGAAGCTGGAGGTAGACGAAGCGGCGTCAGTGAAGAACTCAGTGGAGGCTGGTGTCGGAAATGAGGGCGGAGCCAAAAAGAAGTCAGGTACGGCGTCAACAAACAGTCTTCCACCAAACCTCGACAGCCTGGGAACCGCTGCAGCTTGTGCCTTAGCTGCAGCCGCAACGAAAGCACGTCACCTAGCCAGCGTAGAGGAGAAACGCATCAAAGGCCTAGTCGCGCAACTAGTGGAAACACAGCTCAAGAAGCTCGATATCAAGCTCAAACAGTTCCAAGTTAGTCTTGTGCATGCGTTTCTGAGTAAATTTGTTGAAAATGGCTGATTTAACTCGAACTGTTTTTTTGAAGGAGCTAGAAGCTATTCTTGAACGCGAACACGAGATGCTGGAGCAGGCGCGTCAACAGTTAATGCATGATCGACAAGCCTTCCATATGGAAGTAATTAAAACTATGGAGAGCCAGGCTCGTGCAATTGTTCAGCAACAGCAGCAACAACAAGTTGTGGTTCAGCAAACGGCAACGATGTCATCTCAGGTGACAACGCAACCCCCACCGCCCCCACCACCACCGAATATTTCGCTTCAGCAGATTCGACCACAACAAGTGCAGCTGCCTCCGCAACAACAGCAGCAATTTCGTCCCCCATTCATTCAAGCCGCTCCGCCGCAGCTGCGTCCAGCTCCGATGGCGCAGACAAGGCCATCAGAGATCACTCCCGGTATGGTTGTTGTTGGCCCACCAAAACTAGCACCTTCAGCGATCCCGCCAATGTCGATGGAACAGCAACCGCAGTTACAGCAGCAGCAGTCATCACTCATGGCCGTTCAATCGATTCCTCAGACGGGAATGCCTGATATCACGATGAAGGCCGAGTCGAAGGCGCCAATAGACGATGAGATGTCTTCTGCTGCACAACCACCGACTTCGTTGCTGACAGAAGAGGGTGAAGGAAACAAAAAGGAGGAGCTCTCTATGTCGGTCGATGCACAACAGCATTTGTCACAGCCCATGGAACGGGACGATAATGGAGGACATGGTGTCGAAGAGACAGGAGAAGGCGAGAATGAAATCGGGTGTGTGGAGGGTGAAGATGAAGGCGAGGATGAGGTTGTGGAAGATGAGGAAGAAGACGATGAAGCGTGAGGAAAGATTGGTTACTTTCCCACCCATTTTTTATTATCCCCTCTGGTCTTGACCTTTTGCATTTTGCCTGACCTCTCCTGCGTTGTAATATCTCTGCGTCTGTCTGTTTATCTCTCCTTTTTTGTGCGTTCTTACCCGATGTCATTACAAACACTACTCTCCAACAGTGTGCACTCCGAATAAGTACAACAGTTGTGCTAGTAATCAGGTACCATCGAGTGAAAGTCAGCTTTCATGCCCTTATTCATGCATCATGGAGTGTAAAGTTGGAGGAATGCGTTTGGTGGGATGGTAATCACATTGACTTTAGACTTCCACCCCTGTCGTCCGAACACACCAGTCCGCGACAGTCGAAAGGTCATGCGAGGCAACTTAAAATGTCCTAAGAATTGCACTGGTGCTATGATCTCCAGAGCGCGATGGAAAGCTGACGGAAGAGGTATAAGTGACACGCCTACCCTTGATGAGTCACTCATTTCCTCTGACTTAAAATCCGTAATTTTTGCAGCATTACAGTTTTCATAAAACCAAATAGTTGAGCAAGTGCATACAATTAGAAAGACTACCTGGTAAAAGGCACAGGTTATCGTTTGCATGTGTGTTAGTACATACGCGGAGTTCCCACAAATACTTTGTACAAAATAGGAAGGGGCAACTGCTTTCACGACTTTCGACTCGTTCCCTGAGCCATGACTTCGGCCATCTCGGCAGCGGACATACGTTGGGAATCGAGTTTGTCCAAATCCACTCCCATACTTCCACTCAGGTGGCGACGGAGACACTGACGATAAGCATCCAGTTGAGAGGCACATGGGTCCTCCTTAAACTTTTCGCCACAGAGGAAGCGGGGAAAGAAGTCGAAGAAGCACTGTTCATAGTCGTCCTTGAGTTTGTTGCACTCCACAGCTACACTACCCAGACGAGCAGACGAAAGGTCTTCCTTCTGTGGCAATGACGACGATTCCTGATCAGGCATCTGATAGCAGAAATAAACTCCATTGAAATGCTTCAAGTAAACCTGACTAAGCTGGCAAAGGTGCTTAGCATATGCCACATGAGAGCAACCGTAAAGCATACTTCAACCATGATCCATGCGCTGATGTACCATTGATACTCTAATACTATTAATCGTTACTGAGTGGTAGAGCTTCTTCGAAAAACAAGCTGAAGTAATCACCAAGCAACAGTTAAAATTCCCAGCCGGTGATTAGGGATGAGCTCAAGCTTAATTAAATACTGAAACGCAGATGAGGACCACTTATATGCCATAATAAGATCTGCGGATGACTCCCAACAAATAGCCCCAAAATTGGTTGCCAAATGGGCAGGAATCTCCCTGGGAGAATAAGCAAGAAAGCTTTGAAAAAAAAATTATGGGAGCGTTAATAAATGATCCAAGGCCTCAGCACTAGTCAGCAAGAAAATAGCCCGGGCACCAGAAAAACAAAAGTGAATCGAGGCAACTTGGCAATGAAAAAGCGTAAATGCAAAAGTGGATCATTTATTTGGAACAGACAAGGAATGTACAAAAGGTAAATTAGGAGGTAACGAAGGACCCATTATAAATCCCACTGGGACGGTCTTTGTCGATAGGCTTTAGTCATAGAATCAGTACGCTTGACAGCCAAACGCTTTTCGTTTTCTCGAATACGACTGAAAGTGCAGTGTAAGAAGGTAACTCGAGACGGTATTTCAGCGAATAAATCCACATCCAACTGCACAGAGTTACCAAGATAAACTAACACCACATGCAATTATCAATGGTAATACGCGAATGGCAACTTCAACGTAATACAATTAGCCAAGGAGAAGAGCATGCCATTCGTCACTCACCACTTCCGATGCTTTTCTAATGTTTCCGCAGACACCTCTGGCTTTTTCAACTCAGCTAAGCGCTCCCTTATCATTCGTCGAATGCGTTCAAGGCAATCAGCTTGATTAAGGAGCTGATACCGAGTTCTGTCGGAGTGAATAATGAAATGACCGTCCTTAGTTATGCGGTGCGACTCCTATAGACACTTGAGCCTATCAGCATAAAACGTGCCTTTTCGAGAAGATAAGATTTTAGATGTCCAGGAATCCACGTTGCAGAGGGAATATGAAACTTCACCTGAACTCTAGTATGACCTTTGAGAAGTACAGAGGTAAAAACCATAACAACGTACTTCTGTTGACATGCTGACCACCTGGGCCGCTGGAGGTAGTGTAGGTTATTTGAATCTCATCTTATAAAATGAACGGAATGAGGACACCTACCCAATGGTATAAAGCCATCGAAAGTATCCTTCCGTGGCTAGAAAACAATAATGCTCATTCATAAAATAGACAAACTGTTTCATCGTTTAATGAATCAGATATGTTCGTGGAGAACAGATGTAACCGTGGAAATGAAGCTAGCTTCGAAGTCAATCTCTGATCACTGGGAGTCCAAAGGTGAGTGGGATTGAGACCCACCTTTGATAGCCTAAGAAGACGTGACACCATTTAAGGTAGGCTGAGATCAGTACGATGCGATGACAGTAAGAGTGGCCAATAAATAAGCTAGATTTAAAGGTCTAGACTTAAATGAATGAATACAGATACAAACTGCCTAATTATATGAGGCTGCAGCTTATCGTGTTTTTTTTCAACAACAAAAGCTAACCTTTTCGTCAGCTGGCTTTAGCAGGTGATGAACTTGATCTGATGATTACATCGATATTGCTCTTTGATATACAATTCGCATGTTGATGTCAATGCTATTCTAAAACATGTCTAGCAAATTCAGGCCAAAATCGCGCGATCATTAAGATTCATTGTATAGAAATAAACTAGATTCAAAAGTAAATGTACTTCTTAGTTATATAGATTAGAATTGTAATTAGTTCGCGTGTAACAAGTTCTTAAGCATATTGAGCCAGCGTCTTATCATGCTGCCTCAAATCTCTGAGGGTAGAAAGCGATGGCTATGGCGCAACTTCTTCACTTGTGAGTGCTCAAAATGTTATTTTAGAACCTTGTAATATGGATTGACGATTAGTAGGCAGCAATTAATTATTACGCGTCGGTTTTGTTTGCATAAGCTCCCTTTGCAATGCGCTGCAAATCGCCTCGCTGTTAATAGATGACGAGTCTGGTGGCGTCTTTCAAGGCAATCGCTCTGGATGATTCGCGCTGCCAGTCACTACTTGCAGTATGTTTTGATAGGTTTATCGTAGTCCAGGATGTAACCTCTTTAAGTGGCCTTGTGATTTTGCTTTCGAACAAAGATCACTCAGTAGTCTTAGAAATCCTTGAGGTAATTTTAGCGTGTTACTCATCATTCTGTAGGTATTCTTTGCTTTGGCTAAGCGTGAAAATGGGTCAGTCTGTATTTCTCGGCTGCACGGGTTGCGAGAACAGCTGTTAAAGCTTCAAGAAGATGACGAAAACACTCCATTGGATGTGAAGAACCTTTCTCACAAACTTTACCATCTTCTCTACTCTACTGAACATCACTTAAAAAGGTAATTAGGGCTGCTCCGATGGTCATTTTAGGTCAAATACCAAGACTTCTCGATTTAAAGGTCATCGCAAATCTCATACAGTTGTTGTTCAGTTATCGGAAAATATTGGCATGGTATGCTTTTTACTGCTCTATATAAGTTGTATTTGATCTCCTCGTTCTCACTACCCTGTTTCTAGTCCGATCTAAAGGTGATAGAATCGCATCTACTCACCATTAAAGGAATCATTAGCATAACTTTCCAGCTGAATAAGTTTCGTGTCGTCGTGATGGCTGTGGATGCTGTTGAGCCGGAGCAAATTCTCGACAAAGTCACCGTTGCCTGTCAAAAATTAGTCTTAGAAAATGGTCTGGTCGATACACCCGCCTGCTTCATCCGAGGACGGAAGTCGACGCAAGTCTCCCTTTTCTTTGCGTTCAGATGTTACTTTCTTTGTCCGGACAACTTTATTGCGTTTCGATTTGTGCAGATTTAAGAGTCGGACCTTGTTGTTTCTTTGCAAAACGGCAAAGCGCCACTTTGGAATTTATGCCTGGTTCTCGTGACAAGTCATTTGCTTTGCCCTTTTTTAGTATTCGAGGTCTTATATCTCTAGCATTCTAGTATTTTTATCCCACTATTTTTTGTGTCTCGCTTAGCCTTCTTCCAGCAGATTCATTTACTGGTATACGGTTGCTTGTGTTATTACTGAAGTTCTCCTGGTTTATTTTTGATTCAAACAGCCATATGTAACCTATTTTTTTAAAAAAGATTAATTCTTGGATCTTCAGTTTAGAGTTTATTATTTCTAGCACTTTGTGCCGATTCTTCATCCAATTGTGTTTTATCTGTCAGTTTATGGCAGTTTTAATGTTTTGTTCTCGGCTTCTTGTTGGGCATGAGTACCTGATTTATGTTCCTCGGGTTGCCGGGGTTTGCTTCTGATGTGATTGTCATCGATTGTCTTCCTTCTTGCTCAGGGAGCTAATGCATGCTTGTTTGTGTATTGGTATTAAAGCTCACTGCTTTTCCATGTACAGATGCAGCGTTTTTCATTTCCTTATTAAGGCTCAAGGGTTTGTATTACTCTTGTCATCGTTTCTTTCCGATCTTCGGGTGAATTCCCATAATTATGACGTTACTCCCGCCTTTAATGTGGTGCATTTTGTCTGAGCCTTTGTTGCTTTGAGTCTGTACTTTTCATAATAGACTTTAATTCTTCCTTTATGATTTAATTACCAGCCTACTTCCTCTGTTGCAATGGTTTAGTCGAAGGTGGAAATTCATTGTTTCAACTCAATTTCCAGACCTAAGTGCTTAATTTCAGATTTTGTCCAGATTTCCTTCATGTATTTCTCTACGTATTGATTAGGTCTTGAATTCATTAACTGTTCCTTTCCTCTTTTGTTGTATTTTCAGCTGTTCGCGAGTCGCACTACATCGTCGTGACACCATACGCAGTGGATACACTGCTGTCTCAAGTACAATGCCACCCCCAAGGCAACCAAAATCGCGCCCAAAACCGAAACCGTTGAAGCCATACTTAGCGGACGGCGCAGACATCTTTGAGGTAGACCCAAGCCACGGTGTTCCCCAACGTCGGGATGCCATTGTTAACGACGCTAATGGTACCAGTCGTGGCTTTGGTGGATGGCTCTCCGACCTCCTCGAGAGAACGGTCTTTTGGTGACATGTACATGGTGGAACTGTTGTGTACTTTGATATGCATTTTCTACTCCATTTATTGTGTACAGCATTACTTGTATATATTTATAGATGCTATACATGGGTATGAGCGATATTTAGACCAGACGAGCTTCTGGTTTTCGAGAGAGGGTATCTTGGTTGAAGATTTCTTAATTTTCTTATATGGTCTAGCTGAACTTTGGACTATCAACATATGGCTATTGCATTGAGTGTTATGGCATGCCGTTCTACTGGGAATGATCGCCATCGTTGTGTTTGGAGTGGTGTTCTGAAGACGATGGAATGGCCTGAGCTGATTTACGGGTAAGGTGTACTTAAGAGGCGATCTGGGTGTTTTAAATGCAGCGTTTTAAATCTCTTGGTAGGCGTGGAGATATTTGAGTAGGACATTCAGTATAAAGGAAGAGTTTGGCGTTTTGGCATGGGTCAGGTATCAGCACAGGAAGTCAAAGGAGCAGGATCGCAGTTTATTTACTTGGTGACAAGCATCGATAAGGAGTGCTTGAGGAATCACATTGATTTTGATTTATGGAGTGCGTTCGAATCATGCCAGAAGCAAAGCTCGTCCTCGTATGTTTGACTACCTGTGATTAGCGGTCAATTTGGTTTCGTTCTGCTCTAGTGTGCGTAAACTGACCTCTGGCCTAATTTGGAGTCTAGTTTCGCCCAATTTCCGTTTGAATATATCTATTCAACTCTACTTAATGCCTTCTTCTATCTAGTAGAAAGTTCTGGTGAGCTTTGCCAGTGAAAGTTGAAGATGACTCCGGCTTTGTTACAACTTCGATTATTGTGTCCATCGTTTTTGACATGCTTATGCGATGCGATCCCTTCGCAGTTCATATACGTGACGGCTCATAAGGTTGGCGGTCCCTTTGGTTTTTGTAGCTATCAGCTGCTCATAGGTCGACTTTTCTGCTAAGCAATTCGAATACCTTGTTTACATGACTACCTCACTTTAGGATTTGTCTGGCCATTACACACGAGTGCTGGCATTCGGGCCATGCACAGACACATTTGCTCTGTTTTCTTCGGAATATATGTATCCAGCTTCACTCACTGCCTTCTTCCACCCTATAAGAAGTCTCGAGACACTACAACCATAACCCAATCTTTTATATGTGGTCGGCACATCCCTAATGACTTCATCATCCAGTGCGTAGCTCCGGAATACTGCCCTGCCTCTTCTGTTTAATAATGCATATCCCACCTGGATGTTATGCTTTCTGATGCACAAAAATGAAGCCCTGATATGCTAAGGCCGTAGCCATTATGTATTGTATGTGCAATGCTTTGTTTATGTGGTCACTTTAGATCTTGTCTAGCCTCTGTACACATGGGCTGGCCCTCGGACCACTCTCCGGTCCCATTTTCCATGTTGTCTTCCGAATACATGTTATCAACCTCACTTATGCCTTCTACTGCCCTATGGAAAGCCTCGGAACGCTGTAGTATGTGAGCTGAAATGGTTGTCTATATATAGAGAATCGCAATTGTTTTTTTGCGATAGGTGTGGTGTGCAATTGATTTTAAGATAGCAGAAGGTTTGTTCTCTGGGTTATACGCCTTGCAAAAATTTTGATTAAGGAAAAGCAGAGCTCCCAAGTTCCTAAGCGCAATGATTTTAAAACCATTAAAATAAAACTAAAAATTTTGTAGACAGAGTTATATTAATAACATATTCACTTTTTAAATGTTAAATTCTATTGATGAACTGAATTTTGGATAAAGTTATCAATGTAAACCTTAAAAAGACAGCCTTGTTTGAGTCCGTGCCTTCCACCAGCATTCGTTTTCACTTGTGATGCGCATGCCGGTTTCTCCTCGTGACTTGTGCAGGTTCGTGATGAGGCTTTCGTCTTTTAATAGATGTGGTAACGGCTTTGCTGGCAAGCATGGTTTAGAACCCACCATGTGTTACTCACCTTTGTTTTAAGGGCGAGCGTCTGATAATGATCCTTTGTTTTCCTCTTAGGGTGTGAAGACAAATGTGAGTGGAAGTAAATGATGTGTTTATCTGTCAATCCGTTGATTTTTGTGATATCAGGATGTATCTGATGCGCTCTTACGTGGTCCTTTTCGCTTTCAGTTCTCTGATGCTCTGCCGACAGCCAAGGAGGTAAGCGGTGATGACATTAGAAGTCCATACGCCTGTTGGTAGCTGATTTAATGAGTCTGATTTTCTCGGGTTGCATATCAAAGCTTGCCTTCTTTTTTCAGCTGCGTGGTATCTATGTCCCTTGACGTTGTTCTTGTATTCCTGAAAAAGTGCATATGTGGTCAGTTCCCTTGTTTTGCCTTATGGTGGGGTGGGGGTGATGGGCGGTGGTAGGTGATTTGTCGCTGTCAGGTGTTCCGGGTGTCCGCGCTGGGGGGTCTTAGTGCCGCGTTTGTTAGCCTGTATGACGTGGGTTTCCTCTCTTGGATATCCCGGGCTCGGATTCAGTCGCCCTTTCCCTCTACTCGCATTTGGGCTCGGCTTTCTGCTTTTATTTTGTCACGTCTTCCGGATATGGCTGTGAGTGGGCTTTGCAGTACTTCGTCGGCTTTGTTTGTTCTTTTCAGGAGTGTGAATTCTGGTTTGCCCGCCAATTAGAAATATGCGTCTGGTAGATTGCTCCAGACCGTTGATTGTAAAGGTTTTGCGTTCTGATGGTAGTAATGGAGCATTAAGTGCTTATTTTGGCTAGGCTCGTGTCAGAGTGCTTTTCTGAAAGACTACAATTCAGAGGAATGCTCTGCCTTAGTCACCTGGAGGGAACGCGGCAAAGGTCGGAGTAAACTGGTAGGTTTCCACTTTGTGTTCATTACTAGCTTTCGATTCCAGCGTTATTGCAATGTAATGAATTCTTGGTATACAATGTAGACTTTTTCGGTACCTTGTTCACACTTTAACAGGGTGGAAAGCTTTACTTAAATTGTGAACATGCTGGTGTGAGGGAGGATTATGATCCCCATAGCGAAGATTCAAAGGAGGGGAGTGATGTGAATCTTTGTCCCCATAACAGTCCTGTCCGCAGTCTTGATTTCCAGGTGGGGGAAAGTTGTATTGTACCCAAGATACAGGTTTGCGTCCGGAAACGGCCTTTGAGCATTAAGGGTAACTGGTATATATTCTAGCTTCATAAGCGATTATTGTGCTTACAAAATATCCTAATTTTTAAGAGCTAAGCGAGAGTGATCCAGACGTCATTGAGATGTCTCAACCGGGTCATGTGACTGTTAACGAGCCTCATTATCTCGTGGATCTAAGCGAGTTTGTTGAGTCGCATACTTTTCGTGTGGATCACACTTTTGACGAAAAGGTTTCCACAAGTGAGGCAAGTTAACGCATTGAAATGTTGGCTAGTATTTGCTAGATTAGACATCATAAATTATTCTGCACTTGTTTTGATGGTAAACTGATAAGGCTTCGTTTGACCAATTAGCCCAAATAAACAATTTCTCTAATCCAGATATATCAAAAAACAGCTGCTCCCTTAGTTCGCACGGTCTTCCAAGGGGCTGTGGCTACTTGCTTTGCTTATGGGCAAACCGGCTCTGGGAAAACCTTTACGATGAGTGGTCCAGTTGGAGCAGACAACACCTATCGGTCACTTGAAAGGGGCCTGTATGGGATGGTTGGTGAGTCGGAGTCTCATGTTTAAAGCTAAGTGCGATTTAAGATATAGAAAAGCATTGCTTTGGCTGCTATATGGGCTGATTACTTCACTCTTTACTGTCCGAAGGCTATAGAATTGTCATGGTAAACAAGATTTTCCTCTCTAACTTAAGTGGAGGATATCTTCGAACTGCTGAGAAGTGATAATGAGTGCGCGAAGTACTCCATCACGGTTGCATTTTTCGAAATCTATTGTAGTCGTGTAAGTTGAATGCATGCTTATTTCAAAATTCTTCTGTTAGTCATTGTTTAGTTGAAGTTTAGCTAGTTAAAGTTTTATTTTCGGTGTGGATATCTCAAATTTGCGGGTGGCGAAAAGAAACAAATGGGGTTTTCACAGGTCTTCTACAGGGTTTCGTTGGACGGCAGCTCTTGTTTGCGCCAAAACGCCTACGTTTTTAAACACTTGCCAATGATATCTTGGGTACTTTTATTTATGGCTGTTTGAAGCCGCAGGTGCGCAATCGTTGCACACCTACACCTCGGTACAAGCCATTCTTTGTTGCGCCTCGGATATGTTCATCTGAAATCTCTTTGAATGACATGAACCGCATGTGGCAGAAACTCAAAAGCATCCCACTTCCAAATCATGATCTAGTTGCTCTTTGCTTGTTGCCAGTCGTTATTTCAAGCGTCTCATTTGAATGAGTTTGTTTTTAGCAGTGGCTACCACACCACCTTTCTCACTCTATCTCCTCATTAACTATTTGCACTCTTCGGTAGGTGAGGTGCGGAAGTACTTTTGGTATTGATAATCTCGAATCGTTTATTCTAATGTTATATCTGACTTATAAATTCCTAAGGCTTCAAGTCCCCTTGAGTAAATGGGGTGCTTTTGTCGTTAGCATTGGTAATGGTCGTAAGAATCTGCTCAAGTCACCACTACAGATGCATGAGCTTTGACCTTTAAAGCTGTTTTAAGTAGTAACATCTGTCGTTCTAATTACAGTTTTACTGCTGATGGGAATCCGCTAAGGCGGAAATCGGTGGATAAGTCAAAGATGTGACTGTCAACTTCAAGCCGAGTAAATGTTGCTGTGCATAGTTTGTTTGATTTTTAAGACAACTAGCTCGAGTCAGTTTTTTTTTTTGTACGTTAACATGGTCGCAGACGTACTTTTCGAACACCTAATCTCAATGGGCTATTACGTGTTCATTGCACGGATTCGTCTGCGTTGCCTATTCACATCGGTGCTTTACAATTCTTGCTTGAGCCTCTACGAAGTGCATGTCAGAAACCAAGAACAACTCGATTCCTTGATTTGAAAAGGTACTTCAATGTCTAGGTCTATGATCTTCTAAATCGCCGAAGTGTTGTGCGTGTGTTGGAAGACTCTAATGGAGCAGTGCGACTGCTCGGTCTCAGCGAGATCAGCGTGGAGACCTCGGAAGAGACACTGACTCTCCTGAGGCGCTCTTGCCGTCTTCGCACCAGTGGTCAAACAGCTCTGAACCTTACTTCCAGTCGATCACACGCCATCTTTCAGGTAGGCAGTCACGTCCCTCCGCCAAAATCTTGCGTTATGTTGAGGTCCTTTTGTTCGGACATGTCTGTTTCATCTTTATCACTATTTGGACTGTTTTAGTACAGCAGACTCAATTAGCTAACCAATTTCGGAATTCTAGAATTATTCCAGTCCACACCAAGTCACTAGGACGTGCTTTATACTTAAAAGTAACTTTGAGTGAGTGCAAAAATGACTCTTAACTGCCGCTTTTTGAAGTGTACAATTTCACTAAAAAAAATATTGCTCTTATGCTTTGTTTCTATGGCATCTTGAAAGGTTTGCTCTTTGCAGCTTCACTATCTGTACCGTATAACCTAGTAGCATACGTTTTTACCATTTTCTCAGATAAATTTGCGTTCTGGAACCTCTCTCATTGGTCGTTTCTCCTTGGTCGACCTGGCCGGCAACGAACGCGGCTCCGACCTCCCCATCACTGGCACTGGCACCAATTCCGACATCGCCAAGACACGTCGCATCGAAAGTGGAGAGATTAACAAGAGTCTCTTGGCCCTCAAAGAGTGCATTCGCGCAATGTGCCGTCTTCCTCGTCGCTCTCATCATTCCCATTCTTCCAACTACCACCATCAGCTTGGCGGAGGCGGAACTGGAGCTGCTCGTCTACCTTTTCGCAATAGTAAACTGACGCAGGTGTTGCGCGAGTCCTTCTTGGGTCGGCGAGCGCGCACCTGCATGATTGCCATGGTGGCGCCGGGATTGAGTTGTGCGGAGCACTCGCTTAACACTTTACGCTACGCTCAATTGGTAAAACGTATGCCACCATTTGAGTGTTGGCCGAAGGTGGCCGCACATGCCATGCAGGCGACAAGACCGCCAACCTTTTTATCGCCTCCCGCTCATCTAGCTGTAAATGCCAATACAAATGGGACTGGTTGTGGGAATTTCGGTGGAAGTAGAAGAAGCTGTAGTCGGGAGAGTTTCAAGTCTGTTTGCTCTTGTTGCTCATGCTCTACTGAAGATTCACATGAGGTAAGTGTCCAACATTTTGCACCTCAAAGTATGTATTACCACAAAATGGCCTTTATATAACCAGCGCTTTCATCTCTGTACATTGCAAATCTGTCAAAAATATAGCTGAAAACAATCCGTCTTGGATATTTCCTTACCATTTACGACGATGCTAAGATGTTGCGTACTTTTTCGCAACGTGTTAGATGGATCTTACTCCGGCTGTTGATGGCGTGAATGCTTCATTAGGTTGTGTTTCGCAAGCCCTCTCTGATCTGGTTTTACAGCATCGTCAACTACTAGAGGTGAGTCTGTTCAATTGCCATTTGTTCAACACTTTCACCTCCTCGTCCGTCTATTTGCTCATCTTCTTTTCATAGCAGTGGATAATTCTTATGAACTTTTTTGTTTTACTGGCTCAATTCGGTTGATTAAACCAAGGCTTCGCCTTATTTGACCAAATGCTGCATAATTGGGTTCATGTCCAGCGTACTAAAATCATGCTTTGTTGCGTACTGTACTTGTTGCGATGGTCAGGCTCTCTCGTTGCTTTTTTTAGAAACTGCCATCGTGGGTGTCCAGTCACCATCAGCTTCTGGAGCGCTCCAGAGAGAATCCAAAAGGTGGATTGTAGTACAAACAACTTCCACATCACAAATGCATTGACACTTTTCAACAGTCGTCTTCATTCTTCCTTTCAGCCTATACAGAAAGGCTTTTCCAATTGGCAAGCTCACATATCAGGCATCTCGCAGATTTACGATGTAGGTTCCCATCCTGGAGAGAGGGGACTTCAAACACTTGAATATTAATGCATAGAAGTACTGGTTATACATTTTAAAATTTGCACCATAGCGAAATGAAGAAAAGCTCCGTGACTGCTTCAAACGTTTCCACGATTCTGCTTAAGAAATTAAAAACGTTCTTTTGTTTACGAAATGTGCGACGGTAAAGAAGTGACGCTTTGAAGATGATAGGCTACTACGTGCGTTTGATTTTACTGTCCATATTAAGCATAGCTTTTCCTGTTCAAAGCACTTTTTTCTTGAGTCAAAGAGTGTGATGATCTAACCTCTTTTCTAGGGTGTTATTTTTTTTCCTCACTTCCCAACGATAACAAGAGCCGCCTTGAAAGTGGAGTTGATTCAGATGCGTCTCTACCCGTGCCTGCTTGATTAGTTGTTAGATTTTGATCGCCTTAAGTGGGGCGGTTTCAGAAAGGCTGCAGCAAAAGGACGTCAGTCTTGTTTACAAAAAATTCGGATTATTCGAAAGTGTCTATTCTATGATAGTGTTCACTTGCTGCTATAATTTCCAGCGCTACAAGTTTGATTGGCGGTTCAAACAAAGCGTGAGATAACAGACGACGGGAAATGTTTACACTTCCTATTTATCTGAGCGACCAACTACTGTATTTGCCTTTTTTTCCGATTTAGACATGGCAAGAAACTTGATTGAGGATTCCCCTGGTGGATCAATTTCATTGAGGCGCTGGAGACTGCAGAACCGATGAACACATGTCGCCTCCATCTCTCTCCCACCTTCACTTATTCCATTCTCACTGAGACAGAAAAAGAGGGCGAATGTATGCCAAAAAAGTGGAGGACTGAGTATTGAGTCTTTCAATTCCCTTAGCAAGTGAATAAAATGGTGCGAACCGAAATTTTTGTGAGTAAAAAGAAACACTTGGAAACTGTACTAGGCGGAGTGGTCAAGTCTTCTTAGTTTAGGTTTGGGGAGGCGGTGCGGGTGTTCCATAATCCACACTTGAACGAAACATGGTGTGCGATGCGCCAAATGGGCAACTAGTTGGGCACAGCTCTGTCAAATTCGTCAAATGATTTTATGGCTTTTTTTGTTCATGAGGCAGATTTGTCGAATAAGCAATGACCGGTAATTAGCATTTGGCAGATCAAGCCGCCGTCTGGTGTGATCTTAGGGAAACACCGAATGGTATGAACGTCCAATTAAAGGGCACTGAAACACATGAATTGTCGTTCATTAAAAGTTAACTGATGAGAAGCTTAAAATGTCTCATTGTGTCTTTATTATAAGTTACATGTCCAGCCAGAAATGTAGTTCACTCAGTTCCACATACCATCGTCAGCGGGCCAACTCTTGTGTCCGGGTTCCTTGCTGACCTCAGCATCTCCGTGGACAGCAATTTCTGATTGCTGTGCGTGCTGATCCTCAGAAGGGTTTGCGAGTCGGTCCCAATTCAGGCTTTCGTCTTGCAGTTTTAAAATGAAAGTATAGAAACGGAGTAGCACACTTGGCGATCTCTGATAGCATTATTAGCTAGAATTCGCAACTTTCTAGGAAGAATTCATGGATTTTTAAGTGCAATTCGCTAAACCCACCACTCTTTCCTGCCTCCAGTAGTTCAGTCTCACGATTTTCACACTCCTTGCGATTTTCAGGGCTCGCCAAGTCTAGAAGAATTTTTTGAGGTCAAGGTTATGAGTTCGGTGGACTTTTAAGTGCCAAATTATAAAAGAGGTGTTTCAATCGATTCACATTTTTCGCATTTATTGTATCCAAGCGATTCCACCCAACTGAAACTCTTAGTAGTGGACTCAAAGGCCTGCAAAAGTTCTTGAGATCAACAAATAAGATCATTCGCATTTCAGCCATAAGGAAGTGGAAACGTAAAGTAGGCTCGCCCCCGAGCTATAAAGCATGTTGCTTCTCCGACCATTTCGGAGACATAAATTACTAAAACATTCTGAACAAGAAAACAAACAAGCCAGACATGGTGAAGTGGCTTTCCAAATCCGCCTTTCCCCGTGTGCCGATTACGCCTACAGGGCCAAATGCATGTCCGCAGGATTTGTCGAGAGTCCGTTGAACGGTGGTCCTTCTGCTAAATCTTAAATCATACCTAAGGTTTGAAAGCTTATTAATCTGGTCGAGTTTGTGTTTGACAATTCTTTGTCTTTGTGCCAAAAGCGTTTCTCTTTTTAATTTGTGAATTGATCCTAGCGCATATTGGCTCACCTTCAAATCACTATGGTTACGGTTTTTTGGGTGTCGGACCTTGATCCATCCTTAGCCTTCACATCGAGATAATAAAGATGAAATAGCAGTTGATGAATCATGAGGGGAAGGGGTCACATTTTCAGGTTAAAATTCCCCGATGAACTACGTTATTTTAACTGTATTGCTTTGTTTATGTGACTACCTGACGTTTGGCGGTCGCTTCAGATTTTGTCTGGCCTCTGTGCACGTGGACTGGCCTTCGGACCACGCTCAGGTCCCAGTTGCCCTGTCGTCTTTGGAATACATCTATTTAACCTCACTTATTCCTTCTTCCACCCTATGGAAAGCCTCGGGACGATAAATTAACTTAGGGAGAATCAGCTCTGCATTTACCTGAGCAAATCAACATTCCTAATTTCCCTTCACCCATTAACTCTTCCTGCGAATCGCACCTTCAGAATACCAAATCATTCTGGCTCTTGGAAATTTAAAGGAAAGAAAAAGCAAGAAAGTAATTTTTAACCTCGCTCATTGGTGCTGAAGCCGTTAGCAGGTGTGCAGGGGTCTGCAAACATGGATTGCAACGCTAAAATCCCTAGTTTTACTTCATACATTCAACTTAGTTTTCCGGCTAAGACGTGCCTCGCTCCTTAGCCTGACCAGTAGCCTCCTCTATGGTCGCTGCTCAATTTTGTGGTTTCGATTGAAAAAGTTCACTTGCTATCAGATTTCAGCCATTTTACTTAGTGCATTTAAGTTCCCTTGGATCCAGCCTGGCTAGCTCTGTCCGTAAGGACGGTCCGTCATAGCGTGGTGAGGTTTTATCGAGAGACACCTTTTTTGTTACCAATGTCCCTTTGCCATTCCCAGCTATCCATTCGGAGCTAAGCAACACTTGAGCTTCCAATAATGTTAAGCCTCCAAAGGAGTCAGAGTTTCTTAACATAAGGCGTGCGATACCATCTTTGAAAATTCGAAGTACTAATGGTGATCCGTCCATTGGGATTCACATTCACCTCCTTCAAAACTCTTCCTCACCTCATCTAGCAAGTGTTTGAAGGTACTAACTCTCTTGCTGAGATAAACGTTTTCTTTTATATGCCGCCTTAGGGCAAGATTTGGCTCTCGAAGGTTGCCCATTGCCAATTAAGTACCTTGTGCTATCGTGGTCGAATACTCCTCATTTTCTCTTAATCAGGCAATGGGTGCAAGTGTGGTCTCCCTCCACCATGTTGGTTATATTTCATACTGACTGTTTGCCCAGGATGAAATTTGTCAAAAATGGAATCTCGAGCAGTGTTTGACTAAAGCCACAGTAACACGAGGCAAATGGAACCTCAATCAGTTGTAGTCAATACAACTTCATAGTTCTGGTTATTTATCGCCGACTTTGAATTACACCTTTTCCCCTTCAGCGCTCACTGCACTTGATGGGTCAGAATATAGTAATGCCAGTAGGGGGGTACTCTCACCTTCATTTACAATGCTCTTGTGGTGCGATGCCCACGGGATCGTGACTAGCCATTACAGGATGCTGTGCCAGAACCAGGGAGTCAACGACCTAAGTGTCCCCAAACTCACCGCTAATCGTTTCGTCAACGACTTCTCCCGTCTGAGTAGAATCCTCCAATTCCACTTCGCTTGTCAGTTGGACGGTCTCCTGTGGTACTTCTGCCGAAGTCTGTGCGCCCCATTCCTCCTCCTCTGTACGAGTAGACGACATCAAACAGAAAATTGGTTTAAGTGAGGGGAAAACAAAGTGCAAACAGGTTGACTTTGTAAACTTGTGACCAACTTCATTAATTTGCACATCGAGATGCACTTAACCACAGGCAGAAAAAGTTGCCCTTTCAATAAATTTGACTAATTTTTGGTTGTGCTGCCACGCAATCGCAAAAGATATGATCAAAGATGCCTCTTTTGGTTAGTTTAAGTACCAATTTTTGGAGGGATTTGCTAAGATCTGCGTTCTGGAGGCCACTCTTGCATTGTCCGTTTCATAAATTGTGGCATACCTTCCAAATTGAGACTTATGCATCTCTTTGGAGTCTCTCGGATCTTCTAGCGTGTGACCGCGATCCAAACCTTATGTGGCGGACCGAAATCAGACATTTCGTTGCTCACCCTCCAAGCTAATGCTAGCAGAAGCTTTAAAATTGCTAAGTGACTAAACCAAACAGCTTTTGGCGCTTTCCGACTTATTCTACTATAAGGTTCCTCTCGTTCCTTCAGCTGTTTTAGTCGGATCCTCCCCCGCAGTTTCACCCACATAATGGTTTGATCCTCCAGTGTCCTCTGATGAAAGCTGTTTCGCAGCCTTCGCCTCCGCACGGACTTTTTTATCCTTCACTAACTACGTTATGAGAAATAAACAGCAGAGAGGAGCTTCATTACCGCTTGGTGCCTGTCAATTAGGAATCCTGAGGATCACAAGGACATGCACGCTCATTTTCGTTTCCCATACGAAGCACTTTTAAAGTTGTTTTAGAAGTACTCCAAGTGAACGCTTTCGGCACTGATCTCCGCCATCACTCATCGGAATAAAAGTGGTTTCCTCCTTCCAACTGGCCACTACCGTAACTGATGAGGCGCAATGACCGTTTCCGGGAGGCACAACTTGTCACTGCTTGGCTTTTGAAAGCGACACTCCTTTTTCTCGATCTGCTGAATTTTAATGCTTTCGGGTTAGGTTCCACTGATTTGACAGGCTTCTGTGTTTTGTATCCATCGTGTTGGACGGCTTAGCACAAAAAAACAGAGTAGAACGGGTTTAATTTACCACCTTATCAAACAATTTGATTTGATGGCTAAAAGCGACATTTCCTTGCCACTAACTATAGCAAAATTGCACCATTTCGTAGGTTGTCAAAAAGGTGGACTCACCGTCATCTTGACCAGTCCCGTCTACCTCGCCTTTTGCCTCTTTCACCTCCTCCTCCTCCTCCCTCGCCTTTTCGTCCTCCTTTTTATCTGACAATGTGCATTCTTCCTCCTCAACTCTAAAGTTCGCCTTACCTATTCCCAGGATTTGTTGTGAGTGAACAAAATTTTCTTAAGATTTGTGCTAAACTATTGCACACTGCAAACACTTGCGTAAACCATTAAAACTTGTCATAAAAGCACCTAGAATGTGCGTCAAAATCTCAGCCACTTGCCCACCTCCAAGAGGAGCGTCCACATCTTCACGTTGGCTGTCAAGTCCTTTGTCTAGTGGTACGCCTTCTGACACGTTTTCCACGCCATCTTGAGCATTCGCTTGTCCCACTGACGTACTGTCATAATCCACGCCTTGAATGGATAACAAAAACAGGAATTTTACTACCCGCTTAAGAATTGTACTATTATAAGCAAACAGGATTGCAAAATCAGCCAAATTAGGCATCGTTTGTCTTGGCAAGTACCATCTGATGGTCAAACGTCGACTCATAAGACACCCACCATTCCTTCTACAGTGTGGATAGATACTTTGTCTTTGGTTCCTTCTAGGCAGTCGATTAATGCCTGAATGTTGTTGTCTTTTGGTGAAAAAGTATCAGATTCTTGCCCATCGCATGCCTCCTAATGCTTGTCAGGCGTCGCTTTTCGCCCTCTTTGGTCCATTCATTCTCCTTCCTATGCGAGGTAGATGCTTACAAATTGCTCCCAAGTCCTTGGATTTAAGCTTGTCTGCAGTTATTCCTCCCTTTCAACGATCCGTTGCCAACTTGAAGTGCTAACAACAACCTTTTCTGCGTTGTTTGGCTTGCCGTTCGCGCTATTTCGTGCATAACTCATCTTTACGAAGCGCATTTAAGCTCGATTTATGAAGCAGAAAATTTCTGTTCCTCTTCAAGAGATTATGCCAGTCAAACCGATAAAAATGTGAGGAATTACGTTAGCAGAACAGCCATAGAGCGTAATTTGGTTCCTCCTCACTCCCAATAAGCAGCACTACGGAGAAATTTCCCTATGTACAGGTATAATTGTACTCCTTCCACATTGCTGACTACGTCGAGCTGATTGCATTTACATGACAAATAAAGTCATTGTTTCAAGCCTCGGTGGAGCATTTAGCAAAAGCAGAGCTGCAATAAGAGCGGTGGTTAGCACCCCTCTTAATTTACCTTCACAGACCATGTTGCCGTTTGCTGCCAAGTGCTCCAAGTTCACCTCATCCGCTGGTTCTTCTGTAGGTTGGCGTTTGAATGCTTTCCGTTTTACATCTTCGGGAATGGCAAAATAAGCGCTACATTCACAAGGTTTGCTAGTCTTCCCTTGTCAATCTGGCTTAGCACTTAACGCTGGATAGCAGACGCCGCCTAACATTCACGGAACAGATAGGTGGAACGACTCACTGCGAGTGCCAAACAATTTCAAATTGCGCAACACCTCTGCATGTCTGCAGTATCAAGAACCAATTGAAGTCAATCCAGTGTGGACTTCATTACTTCCATCCTTCGGTGGACCCATGCTCACGTCGTTATAGGCAGCAAATAAAATCAAAGCGATAGCTGTGAGCAAATCCTGCTTGTCGACCCTAGGCACCGAGTCAAACTTGGTTTTCGGACTTTACCACCGCCTTGTCAGGCGGGTGAAGCCTTCCGATAAGAGCACAGTAACAGTTACAATCAGAAAGATTTTATTTTGCGAATGGATCCTTCAAAAAGGCGACACCAAAATTAGGAAAATCTTAGTTCTATTAGATAAGGCAGTTGTTGTTTGACATGATGAGATGCGCTTCACATCACTTACAACGTAAAGCGGTGACAACGAAATTCCTCCTGTGCAAGCCACATAATCATTGCGCAGAGTCCGCCACGAACGCCTATCAATGCCGAGTGTGAAAGCGCCACTTACACAGGTGGTAAAAAGGCTTTTAGAACAAGTAGTACAGGTCACTAAAGACTGACCCTTTGCTCTTTCGACTCCCAGAGTAATCGACGAGAAAATTGCATTCAGCAATTGCTGTAGCAGTAAATTCCATTCTTACTTGCCTTCCCGGACAGAAGAGCGTGCGTTTTGTTTTTATATACGGATTGGAGGACATGTGGTTTGCTCTCTCACTATTTCAGTGATCTAGTTGGTGCAAATTTCGCTCTCCATTTGGCAAGCGCAGGATTTACAGACAAGTCCACCTCAGCTAGCGGTGAATGTGGATCCTTTTTAACTAACTTTCATCAAAGCCGGTCACATCACCTGCTCCAAGTCCAGAAACTGCATCATCGGCTACATTTAACAACGGACAGTAAGCACATGGTTGGCATTGTTGACTGTTCAAAAGTTGGTGAACGCAAGTCGGAGTTTTATCGGGAAAAATAGGTTGTGGAAAGTATTATGGGATTCATTTTGTGACCGACATCGAACTGAAACACAATGGACGGTTTATTCGACCCCCTTGAAAGGGAGTTCGTTCTTATCCTACCTACAGTGGAGACTTTAGAGCTGTTTGCTGTAGAAGGAGTGTCTGACTCTCCCCATACAACAAGTCAAGTTGAACTCCTATGGAGTTTGACAGGTTAAATGTTTAGTCTATTAAGTGGTTAGTTCCTCGATCCAGCTAGCAAAGCAAACAGTAGTAACTTTTAGTCACCAGGTGAAGTTTGGAGGTTCCAAAGCGGAGAGAGGAAAATTCTTTTATTACCTAAAGATAGACTCACTGTCATCATGGTCAGTAACATTTACCCCGTCTTTCGTCTCATCTTCCTCCTTATCTGACGATTTGTGAACTTTCTCCACGTGGTTTCCATGCTCCTCACCTAAAGTGGGTGGCGAAAATTTTTACTTAACTGAAAACTCTGAAAGAAGAGGGTTCTGAATGCTGCGAGGAAAAAATTAGCATAAGAAAGTCTCTCTTGGGGACGCTGATTTGACTTCAGTAGTTAACCCAATCGAACTCTGATATTTACATGGCTAAAAGTTCCACTTATATCCCTCTGGCATGGTCTTCGACTCCACCTGAGTAGGACATCAAATGACGCCACTAACCACTCGCCCCACAATGAGCAAACTTATAGATTAAGGCACCGAATACTTATCCTTCCCTAATCTCTCGCAAGGTAAACCTAATGGGATGGTCAGTAGGTCAACTTCATTGGGCTTGCTTTGCCGTTGTCTGCATTTCCCCTAGATTGCATTTCAGTCTCAGCAACATGTTCCACGCATTCAACCTCATTCTAGCAACCTAAGGAATTCAGCTCTAAAAAGTGTTCGATGTCTACCGAAGAAACTAATAAGACGCATTAAACCAACTTTAAAAATATAGATACGTGCCTTCATTGTCATTGGGGCAAGGTTTTAGGGGTAGCTTCCAGACGAGATCCGATGGGATTTAATAAAGCCTTGCTTAATGTTTGGTACACTCTTCATGAATCCGCCCTCCCTGGCTGATATCTCAAAGGTCTCTTGACTCACAAATTAGTCGGCAGGCAAAAGGCGCTCAATTTAATAAACTTGACTAAGACCGACATGAAGAAGAGATGGCAGTAGATTTTTTGCGCATGTTTGTTTCCTTCTTTATTCTATCTAATTTTACACCTGAGGCACCTCAATTTTACTTTCACTAGCCAAAATGGCTATTATTGGCCCCACAGGCCGGAACACCCTCGGTTCCTCTGCACATCTACAACATCCTTCCTTCCTAACATCAAAACCTTGACTTCAGTGAGAACTAGAATGTCAAATCTTCCACCATGACCTTCTCCCGCGGTTAAGGTGCGTACAAACGACTCGATCCCTCATCGGTCACAATAATCATGACTGGAGGTGGTTCTAATCCCACCGACCTCAGAGACTCACTGCAATCAAAGAAGTGGAGGCATTCCCCTATCGCTTTCAAATGATTGTCCACGCAGTGCTATCGTGAGACTAACCCCAATCATATCCACCCATTCAGGTCAACTGATGATTAGGTGACTGCGAATGGGTACGGAGCAGGATAAGGGTAGTAAAACATAAAGGGGAGTTATTTGCGGATGCGCTATCAACTCTCCATCCTCTGGAATACGGGCAAGCGATGGCATTGACATGAAAAAAACTTCTAAATACCCGAAAACTTGGAAAAGTAAAGTCACTATGCGCATCTCAAGTGAATTTTTTATCGCTGATCACGCTAATACTACTGAATAAAGAGATCTTTTCTTAAAAAAAATAGTGAACTTTTGAGAAAATTATCTGCTATTAATAATTTTTCTGCTTTGTACAAAAAATAGACAAGAACAAAATATTTTTTCGGAGTTTTAAATTACTTGTCCTTAAATCCTATAACATGCAAGGCAGAGACCATGTCTCCACATGAGAGAATGTAACTGTAAATTGTGTTTTCACGCGAAGGCTTCGCTATGCCTACTGAGTTGTCTCACCTCATTAATACTACTTATAAGAATAAAGTAATTCAAACAACGAATACTAAGTTAATGTTGCGTGATAAAGCAGCAGTTCTTACCATCTCCATCAGAAATATCCTCAATTTCCACTTCCGTCGCTTCCATCAACCTAGAATCCGACTGAGCTTTACCCTCACCCTCCTCTAAGGCGTCCTGACAACGTTCTGCATCTAGCGGAAAATGGAGCCTTTAATATTGCTAAGAAAGTTCTATTAAGGAATGTGGTTAAGAAAGCAAGACAAAAATCCTACAGCTGAAGATTCTGGCAGTAAAATGCATAATTTTATTGCAATGCCACATTTGAATGGCAAAGGTTTCTGTGAACTGCTCAGCCTCACATGAGTTCACTTTAATATCGTTGTTAGTCCCTTTCCTCTACGTGGCTATCAGATTGACAGTCGCATCAGCTCTGAGGTTAACGAACAATGCTTAGAATAAAAAAAAAAGTTTGGTACTAAATTTAGCTGAGGGGCAGAAGTTTTAGGGTGGGCCTCCGCCTCAGCTATCGCCTCCTGAAGCCTAGTTCACGAAATATGTCCATGTGGCCTTGGAGGCCGGTTTAAAGGTCATCCAGCTTTAAAAAAGCCTTCACCATTAATATTGCCTCAGTTTCATATACTTCTGCGCAGCGAACCCTTTGGTATCGATTTTTTATTGATTTCTCAGTGCCCTTCGGAGTCGCATTTAAGGTCGTGTTATTTGCCTTCCCAGCGGCCACAAGTATGCAACGGCACTTCGATCCTCCATTTTATCGATTACCTGTCAATTTTAGGATCACGTGACGAGCCCAGAGGACCCTGCAGCTCGATTTTTAAGTCACATGACAACACTGTAACCTTTTCAACGATAACGTGTTGCAGAAAAGCACGTTTCTTTAGATGTCCTAGTCATTTCTAGGCCATATGCCAAACCTCGACAACCCTAGAGATCGATTTCAAGGTCAAGCGACGCCATTGGAATCCTTTTTACAGATTGTTCCCACGTTTTTGGATCACATGGGTGAGGTTTTTAATTTGCTTCTTGGTCTTTTAAACACACGGACACTAAACGATGCCTGATTTTCATAAATCGGAGGTTCACCTCACCATTTGATCGTGTTTCGGTGAGTGTTGAGGATGCATTTTCTTGCTTTGTAACATTCAAATTGTCCTCCACCAACTGCGACACCTCGTCTGCTGGTTGGTCATTGATACCCTTTCCTTCTTCGGAATCTAGAAATGATTGTCCACCTATTAGTGAGGCGCTGACACTCGTTCTAAGTAGACGGCCACTACGACTTCCCTTCCCAAATGGGTGGGAATAGGCGAACCGACATGTCATCACTCAAGCCAAAAGTGGACCAAATCGGGTCTCATTAAGTTTACGTCAAATATTCATGCAGTTACAACATCCGGTTGGTCCTCCTACTCAACAGTGAATGAGTTAAGTGCATAAAAGTTGCATTTATCCTCTCGAACCTTGGGCAGCCTTTCGAGGTGGGAAAGATTTCCAAGCACAATTGTTTGAAAGGCTAGAAATGCGTACATTTGGGAGTGCACTTAAAGACATATGAAAAATTGTTGGCCAATTTAATTTTCACCAAAAACCAGCAAATACTGCATGAAATAAACTAAAAAAATTCAGGACATTATGCAGCAAAGCGAAGGAAAATTGTTTCCAAAACGGGAGCGAAAGGCTTTAAAATTTGTCCTAAGGCAAAAAAAGATTCCCATACGCAGTGATATTCTGCCTTAGTCAAAGGGGATAAAGCGAGGTCTTTTTGTAACGCACCACCGATGGAATGGTCTGTCATCACATCGAGTTCAATTGTAGCCCTCGTCTCCGTTGCACCTTCCAGCTGCACTAGAGGCTGATCTTCATCCTCATCCTCATCTCTGGCCTCTGGGTGAGGTTCTCCAGGCAACGCTGATTGTACCAACACAGCGGTAAGCAAGCAAAGAATGCATTTACTATCCTATCAGGGAATGGAATCACCTTCTTTAACATCTACTTCTTGGAGCACCGCTGTCAGATCGCCGGATACACCACCTTTTTCTGTTTCACTTGAAGATCCTTTGAAAAAAAACTAATGATTAAAAGAATGGGAATTTGGAATCAAAGAAGCATCACAAGACCTCCACAACAACCGTATTACGCTAAGACATGGACTGTGTGAATGCGCAAGGAGGCCAGACTTGCGATGCTTGTTGAATTAACTCACCTTTCCAATGTGTCTCAATGACTGCTGAAGGTGGAGAGTCGTATTCAGCACTTCTTAAGTCCGCCTCAGTCGTCTTTGACTCCTCTATCACTGGGTGGGTGTCAAAATGGTCTCCCTGTTTGGCATCTGGTGGAACAAAGTAGCCAAAATGATACCGTTCTCGATGCAATGGCAGGCTTAATCTTCAGTGCTGCTCAAAATGTTGAAATCACCATCCACGTCTTGACTACGTCAACAGTGGTTGTGGAATTTGGTGAAAAAAACTTGCCTTCAGTACCCTCGTTGCCTTCTTCCTCTTGTCTCACTGTCAGATCGTCAACTGCACTTGCTCTTGTTGTCGCAGTTTGAGACTCTGGAAAAAGAGGTCAGTGTTGGAGCAATCTGAAAATACCACGACAATTGTCGCATTGTCTACCCTCCCTTCTTTCGAATGGCAATTTTGAGGCATCCACTTCAAACGGTATTTGTAAATTGCATTACTTTTCACATCCTCTTCATAATGATTGTAGGGTGACTTTGTAAGGCTAAAAATTAATTCATTTGTGGTTCTGGCGGCCTCTCGACCGCCTCTGCCGGCCTTCTGACCCCTCCTGCGCCCATCATGTCAAAGACACCTCCTCAAAGCCGTCTGTCAGAGGGGAGCAGGGACGAAGGAAAAGACAACCAAACACGATTTTACCGTCCAGTTGTGTTTTTGTGACGGAGGAGGAGGATGTTGATTGTTTTCCCCCATCACCTTCTGGTAGCCATAAAGTCACAAAATGCAACGCCAATTGTCTAAATGCTATCATCGTTTGGGTGTGACAACATAAAATTTCCTCCATGCAAGTCCTTCTGGAACTGTTTTACCGCATCCTTTTACTCTCTTAAGTAGTGTCAGTAGTTGGGATTTACAATTGTCTAAATTGTGCCCTTATGACTGTCTTAATGGCCCTTTTTTTTCCTTCAGTGATTTGTAATGCCTCCGCTGTGAAGCGATCACCAACTTCCTTTCCCGTTTCGGTTGAGGCTAAAGACGTGGCCACACGAAGACGCTTCAACAGAAGTGTGAAGCAAAATCAGTCCCAGAAACTGCATCTGATGGATGACCACAGTTTTGACAGAGTTGGAGGGGTTTAGTGAATCAGTTTTGGTTGCAAAGTCCAACCCCACGACTGTCTAGCAACTTGCGGAAAATCAGTGTCACCTTAAAACCAAGTTTTATAATGAAACGCGGTGTTGGTTGCGTCTCCTTAATTTCCATTTAATCGTGCATTCGTTGGTCTGTGGGTGGAATAAGGCAACGCCAAAGCCACTTCCCAGTCCAAGTGGTGAGGGGTTGACGAAAAAGGAGCGAATTTCCAGTCATTTGCGCTCATCGTTGTGTCCATTTTAAAGTAAAAATCATCGAATTGTTGTTTCTTTAATACACTTTGATTGTTTTCTTAACACTCCATCATTGTAACACCATCGAATGGTTGTTCTCCGAGCCGTGCAAAGGAATGCGCGGCTCTTTGCTGCCCTACTTCCTCTACTATCAAAACTTGTCTTTTCAATTTTGAGAGTGTAAAGGCATCACCCAAAATAACCACTCTCAATGCATCCTCATCAGTGTCAACGGATTCTTCTTCATCAACAAGAACATGACAAGTCTTGCCAGATTTCCTTGAGTAAGCAAAAGTCGTTTTTTGGAGTACCTCCAAATGTGGGTGAAGTCTAGTTAGAGTTTCAATGCCATCAGACTCACTCACCGGATGTGAAATCCGCCTCTTGCAGTCCCCCCATCATCTCTCCCAAATTTAATCCACATCGTGGTTTGTCCTGGTCCCCCTCCAAGCACTCCTGTTGACACTCTGTGTAGGTAAGGCCACAGACAGTAAAGTTCTCCGCATTGCATCGGCGAATAAATCCCCTCCAAATGAGCTTACCATCGTTCTTATTCTTGTCTTCACACCTCTGTTTGGCTGTTGGATTGTCTACGGCATCACCTCTTTGGCTCTCGTTCTGTGACTCTAAAAAAATTGCTCAAATGAGGTAAAAGTTTCAAGCAGCTTTTTCGCTAGGACGGTGGAAATCTTTCTCGACCAACGCTGTAGCACCGATTTTAGATTTTAACCTTTCAATTCCCTATTCAAGGGAGACCTTCGAAAATATGGATACTCCACGATGAACAGTTACATCCGTATTTAGATGAAAGGTGGACTCATCGTTCAATCGAGTCGCCATGGCTGGTGAAGGTGCGGATTCTTGTGCAGCTGCCAACAAGTTTCCCTCGCCTATACAATGGACCTCGAATTCTTCTTTCTGGTCCTCCTCTGTTGCATTCAAAACAATCACAGCTGTGCTACTGGCCACAAAACAAATGAAAATTTGAAGCGAAGTATCAAACACCTTTCAAAATAGGGAGAGGGAAGAACCTTGGACTGAAATTTCACCAACTCGACTTTGTGGTCATGCCATTGTTTCATGACATTTAACGACTCTAGACTACGAATTGGCTGGAACAAGTGACTCCTCAAAACTACGTCATGAAGTAGCATCAACATTACTTTCTTACCATTGTTCATAAGTTCTGCCGATTCTACTATTCGAAATTAAGTCGGTTAGTGATCAGCGAGTGAGGTGAACTGAGGCCTAACGCTATGTGGAATTCTATGCAAATGGAAGCCATTTTCTCATCCCCTGTG